AAAAAAACAGAAGTATAAATTTAACAAATAAAGCTTACATTTAGAAGTATATGTGCATATTTCAAGGAATACATTTTTTAATTTTACAGTACCATAATGTGAAATATATATTAAATTATTTCCCCAAAGACCTATAACTTGTCAGCTTTCTGAATGCCATTTAGAAAATGTAGAATATGGAAATGTTCTCAGTAACCTTCTTCTCCATTTTTTTCTTCTTCTCATGATTGCTTTCTGCTTTACAACATGTTGTACAAGTTCCTTATCTTTCTTGAGGAAGCCTGTGACATAAGAAAATATTTGTTATTGAGAAATGATTAGTGATTTGCTGGCAGCAGAAGATCTGTCATTTTGTTCTCTCACATTGTTCTGCAGATCTAGTCTCCTCACAAAATTTGTCCCCAAAGAAGTGAGAGCTTGAAATCCATTTTAAAACTATTTTCCTGCTTGTAGGTTAATTGGTATATTTATGATGCACTGCATCAAATGGAAGTCAGGATACTCCTACATTAGGACTCAGTACCAATTGCAAAATATGTTTCTAAGGTGTTAGTAATATCCATAAGGTAAAAAGGTAAAGGTTTCCATATCCAATCATGTCTGAGTCAGGGTGCAATGCTCATCTCTGTTTCTTAGCAAGGGAGCCAAACTTGTTTGAAGACATTGGCCAGCACAGCTATTATCTTCCACCAGTGATACCTATTAATCTGCTTGCATTTGCATACTTCCGAAGTGCTAGCAGGAGCTGGAGCAGGAACAGGAGTTAACACCCCATTGCACGGAGTTTGGGACTTGAACCGGGGCTATCAGCTCCCCAACTGACAAGCTGTCCAACTAACCGCTGAACCATTGCACCCTCTTAATGTCCATAGGCTAAGCCTGTATATTTTCAAATCTAGAGTAGTTGAAATTGCAGGAAAAATAGTTGCTTTTTTTTTTTACATGACGCAACTCTGGGGAGGTTGCAGGCAATCTGTTTACTATTTTTAAGAACTCTTGCCTCACCCTTCCTCCTGGGCTTCAGCTGCCCTAGAAGGTGTTTCAAGGAGAAAATTAGTTTGACAGCTTTGTGGGTGCTTCTTAGAGGAATCTTTTGAATCGTTTTATTTTGCTTGTGTTTTTTTTTTTTTTTTTTTGCATACTGCCAGAAAAAAATATACTGTATGACATAAGGCCATTATTGAATATGAATAGACCTCAGTTTATTTTATTTCCTTTTATATGGTATGAGGCGAAGGGTTTTTCCCTCTCTCTCTTAAGACTTGCAGCAGTTCAGAGCATAGGGCTGTTTTTTTGATCATCAGTGGAAATTTGGCATCAGATAACATAGTCACTGGCTGCTTTTTTTAAGGAATTAAGAAATGAAAATGATGAAAATAGTCTACTTACCAGTCATTGTCCTTCAAGTAAAAATTTTAGTTCTTTTCTAGTACTCATTTAGAACAGAGATTCTACATCTAAATCAGGGGTAGGCAACCTTGGCTCTTTTATGATTCGTGGACTTCAACTCCCAGAATTCCTGAGCCAGCATGGCTCAGCTTGGAAACTCTCCTCAGCATGGCTGGCTCAGGAATTCTGGGAGTTGAAGTCCATGAATCATAAAAGAACCAACATTGCCTACCCCTGATCTAGATGGAGATGTGTTAGCCCTCAGACAGCACAAAACTTCATAAAGTTCTCAGGTTAAAGTTTCTATCAAATTTGGCATAATTCTGGAGTTTTGAAATCCTTAGATTATACCCCAACTTCTACTGCTGCTCATTTGCCCTTTTACACCCACTACCCAGAAGAAATTTGAATAAGCTATGGAGAATACCGATAACAGGGAACTGCTACTGATTTTAGTCTTTGAAACATATTCTCAATTAATTGTCTCATTCATAATTTACACTTTGTAATATTTGTTTTAGAAAATAATTGGCATACAGTATTTCCGTAAAATGTTTAGTATACAGTACTTGAAGCAAAGTGAACCAAACTGTCAAAACATACCTATCAGGTTATCTCCAGTGTCATTGCATTAAGTATTATATTTAAAGATGTTAAATCTATAATAGAATTAGATAATATGAATTTCAACATTACCTAGAGATAATATTTTAATTACATGCACCAAATAAGTAACTCTCCAGACCTTTAGATTTTCATACATAGTTATATTGTATTGGCCATTCCAAAATATTAACCTTGTTGCTGTTTAAATGTATTTTTTCTCCACCCTGCTATGAGTCAACCTAAAGTTAGAAATTGAAGCCAAGAACACAATTAACTTTGTTTCTACTTGGAAATTGCTTTTGGATTTTATGCTTGAGGTGGGGAAAAAAAAGAAACTTTGATTTTCGGTTTTGCCAATTAGATAGGTTTGTTTTTATAGAAATGGCTACTTTATATTATTATATAAAAGTAAAAGGCTGAGATTTGATGCTATTATCTTATTCTATTGCACCAAAAGTCAGAAGTCAATATTTTTTCTTCTTTTTTCCCTTTGTCCTACACTTTTCCCTTCCCTTTTTCCTCCATTATTTTTCTATTATTTTCTTTTGTATTTTATATTATATTTGGACAAACTAATAAAAATTTGAATGATTAAAATACGAAAGTGAAGCCAAGACTAAAGGATCCATTCCTTTACTTATTTAGGTCTTATTTAGATGGAATCAAACAAATTAATTGAGGAACCAGAGGATTGGTTCTTCACCAAGAAGAAAGACATAGAGAGAGGGAGGGAGAGGGCATAAGCAGGTTCTTCAGAAAATCCACAATTTAGATTGAAGAATCAGAGTTAAACAGCATAGCTATCCAAGCTTTTATTGATTCACCTGGATAAATTCCCAGCAAGTGCAGGTGTAAGATATGCCTAGAAGTCTCACACTTCTGGAGGACAGTGTGTTGAGGAAATGTGACTTATGATCTTACATATAATAGGATAAAACATCTATCTACAATTGCAATTCCCAATATTTCCTCTTTGCCATCCATAATGTTTAAGGACCTCCATATAAGACAGAGATTGGTAAAGTGATACCTTCAGGCACTCCAGCACACTGAGTTCACACAATTGGTTTGTGCAGGATCACATTTAAATCAAACTGAATTAAATAAGAGGATTGTGTTCCTATTTGAAATATCCTGATTTGGGAATCCCACAAGATTTTGGCCATTTTTTAAAAAAAAAATTATTTCAGTGCTTGGAATATTGTCCATTTGCAGTGCTCAACACAGGTTGAGAATCAGAACATGCCATCACCCTAGTTGATTACATTTTCATGGAAGATGCCATGTAACCTTCCTGAGCGTGTCACTTATCTTGTAATCTTTAGCCATTTAGGTATAAAATAATGTAACAGATTATAGGGGTGTTTTGATAACAAAAGCTCTTGCATTTTCATATGTGTGCAGTTCCAAGGTCAAGTAAATCTTCATGTTTTTGAAGACTGGTGTGGTGGATCTATTGAACAATTGAGGAGAAATCTTCACTTTCCTTTGTATCCTCATGTGAGTATCCTTTTAGACCCATGGATTGACGATATGCTGTCAAGTTGGTTTCAACTCCTACCAATCACATAGACTTTCTCCATCAGGAGCTGTACCTAATCTAGTCTTTCAGGTCTTCCAACTGTGAACTAATCATCACTATAACTGAGTCCATCCACCTTGCTGCTGACCATCCTCTTCTTCTCTTTCCTTCTACTTTTCCCAGTGTTAGAGCTTCTTTCAGAGAGCTGGGTCTTCTCAAAAGTGTGTGTAAAATAGAATAACTTGAAACTCTTTAAGACCACATTCTCCTTTTTTACCAAATGAAGAAATAATTCTGTCTTCCGATAGTGGTTGGGTTCACTTAATTCAGGATTTTCTAATAGTTTGTTGACTAATGACCAGATTCACCAAGATTCACAAATCATTCTGAACCCAAGTTCACAAGTCCCACTAATCTCCACAAAACTTGCCCAGTGAATGGAATCAGCGTAGAGGGCAATCTTTTCTTATTTGGAGACACATTTAGAAATTTATGAGTATGTGATTATACTCAATAAATTGCTACCATAAGAGGATTTGTACATTCACAAAGATTGAGCCCCAATGAGCCACAAAGGGCCACCAGCTTTAAAAAATGTGTAGGAACAGGCCACTCAAATTCGACTTTTGAGTGTGTTTAAATAGAGGGAGAGATTTTTGCATTATTCATGTTTAAACATCACAAATAAACCAGGTTTTAATTACCTTCCCTCCCTATGGTCTTGGTTGCTCTTCATTGCCTTTCTTACCATTTGTAATAACATTAAAATCTGCAACTTGGTTCTTGATTAATGGTAATTTAAGATGTCCTCTAAATTATGATTATGGCTTTCTGACAAAATATTTTCATAATTAAGATTTGCTCTTTATAGAGGAATTTAGATAAAGCTCATTTTAGTTATTAGGTCTGGAAAACATGTTTATGAAGAATATGCAAACAAATGTTTCCAATGCTGCCTGCATAAGAGAAAAGGACATATAAATTGGAATGAGTTGAAGGCTAGGCTTAGGTTAAGTTTGTTCTTATTATAATTAATAAAGCATAGCTCTTTGGATATGTTAGCTGTATTTTTAAACTTGGTTTATACAAGATTACATGTTGGCAAGAATTGGAATTATAGGGCTGAAGTTGCTGCTACAGTTGGTACTTTGGGATCCACACTGCTATGTTATGTGCAAGTTGTACCCAAATTGCTCGCTGCTTTAAAAGCAGAGATTACTGACGACAACAACTATATTTGTAAAAATGATTATTAAGACATTTAACTTAAAACTTCTAACTGTTCAGGGAAGCAGTGCCTTAAGCATGAAACAACACATTGTTTGTTTTATTTATTGCCCATGCTCTACTTCTCTGAATAGCCCTGATTTTATTTCAGAATTCCCAACCATTCCTTTTTATTCTTTCTCCTCCATTCTTTTATCTTAGTCCAGCTCAATTTAGTAATGCTAACATTTCCTTTTTCTTCTACTTCTAGACACGCACTACTTTGAAGAAGCTAGCAGTATCACCAAAATGGAAAAACTATGGATTGCGGATATTTGGTTACTTGCATCCATATAAGGATGGTAAGAGGAGAGTAAAACTGGCTGTATTACAAATAAATTTTTAAGTGTAGAATAACTTGGATCTAAGAGACTTCCATAGCTTTTAAATAACATTATTAATGTGGTTTTTTTTTTTTTTTTACATTTACTACTCCCTTGTGAGGGTTGCTGCTGAGTAAATACATCTAGTGTGGCAGGACATATTCCATGGATTAGCATATGCATAAATCTATTGCACTAAATTCAAGTCCTTTTCTTAGATAATGTCATTTTTATTGCAGATTCAAGTTTGATCCAGGCCTGAAGTTATCACAGGTTTCTGTACATAGAGATAATATTCTATGTTTATCGCCTCTGACTTTATTCTGTATTATTAACCTTTACATTTTCTATTGTTTACATTTCTTTTGTCTTACTTTTCTGTTTAAACTTTATACTCCTCACCCAAATTCAAGTAATCCTCAATTTACAACCACAACTGAGCCCAAAATTTCCATTACTAAGTGAGACATTTGTTGACTGAGTTTTGTCCCATTTTCTTGCCACAGTTGTTAAGTGAATCACTGCAGTTGTTAAGTTAGTAGCACGGTTTTAAGTGGATCTGGCTTCCCCATTGACTTTGCTTCCAGAAGGTCGCAAAAGGCGATCACAGGATCCCGGGACACTGCAGCCATCCTAAATATGAGTCAGTTGCCAAGTGTCCGAATTTTGATCATGTGACCATGAGGATGTTGCGATGGTCGTAATTGTGAAAAACGGTCATGTCACTTTTTTCAGTGCTGTTGTAACTTCAAACAGTCACTAAATGTTATTAGTTGAGGACCACTTTTATAGTACAAACCTATACAAGCTCCAAAAGTAAGTTATGTTTGAAGCTTCTTAAATTGTATAATAATAATATATTATAGATATCGTTACACACACACACACACACACACACACATATATATAATCATTATATCATTGGAAATAATATGTTTATTAAAGATATATCATTCTGCTTCCTTCCACTGGCATGGAACACCATTTCCCATCTTTTTCAAATATTTCTTACTGTTAAGTCCAGTTTTGTTTTTGGATTTCTGTAGGTGTGTTTCAATTTGCGATTGGGGCTGATGACAATGCTGAGTTTTGGCTAAGCCAAGGGAAAAACATCTCAGAGCTTCAACTGATGGCCAGTGTAGGCAAGGTGATCAACTATGTTCTCTCGATTCTTTATTTCATGTACAACGTACACTTCAAAGGAAAGAGGAAATTGCTTGTTCATATAAATTAATATTAATTTATGTATTTGAAATCGATACAACTTTGCTATATCAGCACACTATTGAGGTTAATTAATGCTTCACCCATTTTATGTTTATGTTTGACAGCTGTCATATGTTCTTGAATGGTATCCCATTAAAAATTGTAGAATTACCTGGGACTGTTACAGAGACCAGGGATACCAACTGTCAGATCTGTAGCTAGATACAAAATGGGAAAATCTGTATAACTGAAGTGAGAAAATAATGTAAAACTGTTTCCTATTTAATTCTACTATCTATAGACACCTAACGTAGCACAGAACTGCAGAAGAGTTAAATATATTTAGTAACTTGTCTTGTGCATAGTATTAACATTTCATAATTATATATGTTTATTATGTGTTGGATGTATTAATTCAAGGGCCATGGGGATTCTGATTCTAGTTTTGATGAGTTCTTAAACTGTGAAAATAATCGCTCTGTGATGTTTGGGTTACACAAGTGAAGATGGCAATAAAAAATAGGCAGAATGTTATAAATTTAAATTTATGGATTATCATACGAAGTCACATTTAGAAAGTATTTGAATATTTTAAAAGCGAGGGCTTTTTTTAACTTTATAAAATTTAAAAAATGGTAACAAAAGGTATAAGAGCCTGCTTAAAATTTTCTTGCCTATGTTAGCCAGCTCTGGAAATGTCTTATTTCATTCATGTACGCACACATGCCTGCATATATTCATTCAATATTTACAGCTCATAATTTTTGCTCAGTCTCTTGGCTTCTCCTTTTGGCCCCATTTACACAAGCACAGCAACACTGCACCCATCTAAATGTGGGTCAGCCAAGAATGACACTATAGCAAAATGCAGATCTAGCAGCTGAATGAATACTCCCTCCCTCTTCTACAGATCTTTTCTTCTTATATCTCTCATTCAGCTTTGACAGCAATGCTGTTCTGTCTTAAAGGTCGAGAACAAGTAGCAATCATGAGCATTCATGTGTTTAACTACCATTGAAGATGCACACTATGTTATTTAATCTGGTTAATCCCTTGTACACTATTACACAGTCTGTGAAAAAAAACGTGTTCTGGCTTTATGTGTCTGAAGCCTAGCATAAAAGGGATGTTTTGTATCTTTGTTCAGACTGGAAAAGAGTGGACAGCACCAGGTGAATTTGGGAAATTTAGAAGCCAAAAGTCAAGACTCGTGAAGTGAGTAAACTGAGATCTTAATTCTATTTTGTACATTACTCAACTGGATACAAGCCAGGTAGCCCTATCTTCTTTCCCATCTTAAACCCAGTCTGCAAGTCTTTTGTCATTGTGTGTATATTTTTTTAAAAAAAAAAAAAAACAATTCTAAACTACTATGACTTCAAAATATTTCCTCAAAACAATTTCAGAGTGCTCCCTAGTGGCCAGTGGTACAATTTTCTACAGATCTATTGATCCAGTAGAAGAGAATATTTGTAGCTTAGGGTTGAACGGTGGGATCCTCTCTGAGTTTGGTGGTTTTCTTGCATACATCACATTACTAAACTAGGTAGCATCACCAGTGCTAATATGATGGCACTGAAGATATTATCTAATTTAATAAGGAAATGTCTGCAAGAAAAACACCAAGCTCAGAGAGCACCAAGGATCCCACATTATTAATCCCCCTTTTCCTTGGATTATTTCTCCATTTGCATCTAACCTTAGCATTAAAAAGTTCTGGCAATATCTTGTTTCCACCAGTTTTCCTTGGCATGGCTCTCATCTCGTTCCTAATTCACGAATGAGACAGATTTATGTCATCCTTAGATGTAGCAATGTTAAAGGAGTGTTTCCTTCTTTAAGGCAACTAGATTCGGTGACAGGCTTTACATGGTTTGTACAATCTATTAGGCTTCCCCACCCATTACATTAGATTAACTGAGATATTTAGCAGCTGCTTCAAAATTATGCAGATATGCTTCTTCCTCTCTAATCTGCAATCAATCTCATCTGTCAATGTTCTGCTTGACAGCTAGATGCAGAATTTTCCAGTACAGATCATCTGCTCAGCTGGCTGTAGTGTGAGAGTTTGAACTCTACTGATTTAATGCAAGGTTAAACCTTTGCATTGTTGGAAGGATGGACCCAGCCTTCACCCCCCCACACACACACACCATCACCACTACCATCCCAAAGATAACATGGAAAGCTCTAGAAATTGCCTTGTGTTCTCAAAAGGAAACTAAGAAAAATCTGAAGTAAAGTGCTGTTTTGTGATTCAACTAACTTTATAACTCCAGTCTGTTGTGGGGTTATATCAACTATCCCATTAGCATATAATAATAATAAAGTTGGAAGAGACCTTGGAGGTCATCTAGTCCAACCCCCTGCTCAGGCAGGAAACCCTATAGCATTTTGGACAAATGGCTGTCCAGTCTCTTCTTTAAAACTTCCAGTGTTGGAGCATTCACTGCTTCTGGAGGCAGGTTGTTCCACTGGTTAATTGTTCTAACTGTCAGGAAGTTTCTCCTTAGTTCTAGGTTGCTTCTCTCTTTGGTTAGTTTCCACCTGTTGCTTCTTGGCCTGCCTTCAGGCGCTTTGGAGAATAGCTTGACTCTCTCTTCTTTGTGGCAGCCCCTGAGATATTGGAACACTGCTATCATGTCCCGCCTCATCCTTCTCTTCGTTAAACTAGACATACCCAATTCCAGCAACCGTTCCTTATATATTTTAGCCTCCAGTCCCCGAATCATCTTTGCTGCTCTTCTCTGTACTCTTTCTAAAGTCTCAACATCTTTTTTACATTGTGGTGACCAAAACTGGATGCAGTATTCCAAGTGTGGCCTTACCAAGGCATTGTAAAATGGTATTAATACTTCACGTGATCTTGATTCTATCCCTCTGTTAATGCAGCCTAGCACTGTGTTGGCATTTTTGGCAGCTGCAGCACATTGCTGGCTCATATTTAAATAATTGTCCACTAGGACTCCGAGATCCCTCTCACACCTACTACTATTGAGCAAGGTACCCCCTATACTATATCTGTACATTTGGTTTTTCTTGCCTAAATGTAGAACCTTACTTTTTTTTTGTAGCAAAAGAAACTCCTGGGACATTATTTTACCAAGAGTATGCCTTTACTGATAGATCCATATAGGCACAGTAGAAACGAAGTCAGTTCTGATGTTTTCCTGCAAAAACTGGATAGTTTAAAATCCCCCTTTTCACCCATTGGGCCACCCACATGTCCATTGTCCACCAATCCAGTGCAATCTCTTTGTTTTGGGAAACAGTCTGCTTGCCTCAAAAGCACTCTCATCATTAGACCTTGAGGTGTCAAGATTCTCCCAGGCCTCAATCGGTGCACATGAATTCCTCAATTTCCTCCCAGCCACCCATACATTCCCATCATACCCCTCCCTCCTCCCTTGTTTCTGTGGTTTGGCTGCAAGCAAAAGTGTACAGCCAGTCGGACATAACAGGTTGTTTATTGTATTCAGTTCTGAAAGTTTAGTTTAGTGGTTGAGTCATCAGGCTAGAAATTGGGAGACCATGAATTCTAGTCCCACCTTAAGCACAAAGACAGCTGAGTGACTTTGGGCCAGTCACTCTCTCTCTCTCAGCTCTAGGAAGGAGGAAGCAAGGACAAACCACTTCTAAAAATATTTTCAAGAAAACTTCAGAACCTTGTCAAGACAGTTGATGAAGTCAATATTGATTTGAAGGCACCCAACACAAAAATGACAAGAGTGGATCTACAAGGAATGGACTCCCAAGCCATCCTGCAATACCAGTAATGGGGATTTTTTTGCTCCCAACCTGTGATGAGTGGAAGAGGGAGAAAACAAAGCCAGAAGACTGTACCAATCACACACTGCTCATGCTTTATCAGGACAAGTAGCAACACAGAGCAAGAGGCAGATAAGGATTGGCAACAAGCACACTGAATGTCACCCCGGTGTAGTTTTCGATTGACTCAAGGATAGTTGGCTAGTGCTTTAATCCAGCAGTAGGGAAAGAGTATCTGCCGTGCTTTATTTCCACATTTTTCAAATGCCAAGTATACATTCACATGTTATTAATGGATTGATTGAAATGATCATATGGCAACTTAATTATCTGTACATTGGCTACTCCATACACTGGAATTCAATATGCACAAAGAACACATTATGGATTTCTCCATTACCTTCCATAATATTCCTATGCCTGCTGATTGATTGACTTTACCATCTAGAACAGGGTAGGCAGCCTTGGCTCTTTTATGACTCGTGGACTTCAACTCCCAGAATTCCTGAGCCAGCCATGCTGAGGGGAAAGGGAGAGGTTTCCAAGCTGAGCCATGCTGGCTCAGGAATTCTGGGAATTGAAGTCCACAAGTCATAAAAGAGCCAAGGTTGCCTACCCCTGACCTAGAAGGTCCAAAATATTGTAGAACCAAGTGATGAAACCTCTTAAATAGAAAGAATTGAGAGAAGATGTGAAGAAAATGGCCCCACATCCAGAAAGTAATCTCATCATTTCCCTAAACAAGTAGGTTTATGCATTTCTTGGAAGCTAGTCCAAAATGTCCTCTTCGTTTTTTAATACCTTTAATACATTGTATTGATAGCAAAAGACTTATTTTGCTTTTAATCTCCTTTCTTCCCTTGCAGATTGTCAGCTGCAAACAAATATTACTTTGAAATTCTACACAAACAAAATGACAAAGGAACAGATCATGTGGAAATTGCAGTAGGTTCACTAGATAGATTTGTATTTGGTTGTCTGTACAGGGATTTGATTTAGGCAGGGCTTTTTTTGTCATAGAACACCCAGAACGGAGTTCCAGCACCTTTTTTGGATGGAACCTTGTAGGGTAGGCAAGGCGGGTTGAATGACGTGTGTGAGTTCCGGCACCTTTTTTTTTTTTTTTTTTTTTAGAAAAAAAGCACTGGATTTAGGAGTTTTGGCAATAAGTATTTCATGGACCAACTTTTGCTTTCTTCTTGTCAGAGAAAGCATTTTCTTTCTGATATAGTATATGAAGTTAATATTAGTAGCAATTTTATGTATGAACAGGGATTCAGACAGTTGAATTAGTTAAAATGCTCGGCCACCTTATGCGTCTCTAAGTGGAAAAGGAGGAGGGGGAGGAGGTTACTCAAGAGGGAAAAATAAAGAAAAGATTGCATGTATCTCAGATCCTACCTTAGTTAGTTTATCACATCTCAGAGACCCAAATAGAACCTGTTGGTTCCATGTTCTTATACAGCTTAATCTCCCCCTAAGAAAAATGCAACTATGATCTTTGCCAAAGAGTTTTATTTTAAATTGTACTCAAGTACTTTCTACCATTCACTTTGCAAAGGTTTCTTGCTGAGTGAAGCAAGTCCTAAAATTTCAAGTCAAATTATATTTCACTCACTAACTATACAAAATATTTCTGAAATAGTTTCCTTGACCTTGTCGATCAGGAATTGTAATCTGGAAAATCAAACACAGCTCAACAGCCATTTACAGTAATCCTCCAGAAGTCAGTAAATCTTCTGGTTTTCTTTTCTGAAAAGCCATAGCAGCTAAGGTGCATTTAGATTAATCTCTATTTTCTCTCCCAGTTAACTAATCTATAAAATGTGTATGCATCTGTCTTCTTCTTTCAGTGGAGATTGGATAATCCTGAAGCCAAGTTTACTATTATTGATTCTGAATTCCTCTCCCTTTATGTCGGTAAGTCTTTCTATGCTACAAAACTAATAACGGCAGCAGTTTCTTCTCTGACTTCATTATCCCTTTTTATCTGAAATGCTTTGTCACAAATGCTAGTGCATAGAAAACAGACGTTTTCTAAATGTGTTTACATAGTTGATAGATTTCACAGGGTGTCAAGAGACAAAATTGATTGGTTTATACAGTAGAGTCTCTTGACTAAGGCTCCCTTTAGTCCTCCTTTACTATATGCTCCTACCAAATGAGATGAAATAATCTTTTATTAAGATGACGCCTTTGTGGATGATGTTAGGTCATGTTTTACTTCTCTAAAATATGACTAATTTCTCTAAAGTTAACAATGGGGCCAGTGGGAAACTATTGCAGAAAATTGGGGCTATCACAGAAACAACACTTCAGGGCATTCCTGTCTCTTATTTACCAGAAATAGGACACTATCAACAATTTTTCATGAGTGATACGTCAGTAAAATCTAGTTAGTAAGAGGTGATCCTGAGCATATCCAGATTCCATGCCATATAGGGCATTGTAGGTTTAAATCAGCACTTTGATTTGCCCCCCCGAAACTTATTGACAATCAATGTAAGGCTCATAAAATTAATGTCACATACTCGTAGTACTGAGCACCTGACAACGTGTGAACTGCTTCATTCTGGACCACTTGTAGTTTTCATGTGGCCTTCAAATGCCCTCTATGGCATTGCAGGATTCCAGATGTAATGAGATTGTGAGTCACTCTAACATGATCCTCTTGCTCTAATTATATTCCCAACTGGCACACCAACTGGATCTGGAAAGTAGACCTCCTGGCCACAACCTATGGCTGCTCTTCCAGTAGTAGCTCCCAGTCTATAACACCCCCAAGACATGGACCTTCTCTAACAGGAAAAGTGCATGAGAAGAACAGAGTGGAAGAGATGGGGTAACAACTTGGAAAGAATAGGAGAAAATGTAACTACATCAGGTCAGAGTTGGTGTAGTTTTCTTCCTGTGCCGTATATGTTTCTGGTGCATAGGAAGACTATGAATACAGGAGAAACGCAACCTTGAAGTAGGCCCCAAATCTTTTGCTTCTCCTGACATTGGAGTTCCAGTATTGGTAAAGACAGCATAGAATTTCATAGGGCAGTTATTTCCTATCCTGGGGTCATTAGACATGTTGAGATTTTTTGAAATGCAGCCCTGGCTTGTCTGGAAGTTGCCAACCTGAGAAGCCTGAATCTAGACTTCTAGATGTCTAAATGTCTTCCAGAAGTCACATTTCCTCAAGTGCTGCCTCGTGTCCTAAGAAAATGAATTATTTCTCCATTCTCCCATCTATCATACTTCATTCGCATTTCTTTCTTTATATCTTAGATGAAACTCTTCTCAAAATGGATGAAGTTGCTCATATCCCACAGACACCAGCCACTCGGGCAAACCAGATGCTGTCTAGTCAGGATGCTATAGAACATCCAGCTGACATGCTGAAAGCTGACCCCCGGGACACAATTTATGCATGTAAACATTCTGATGTTCTGTTTGACCACTCTTCAGAGTTCAGTTGCAGCAGTAGGGCAAGAATAGTCATTTTTAAAAAAAAAAAAAAAAATCCAATACAAAAAAGAAACAAGACCAAATAAGCCTACTAGTGATGAAGCTCGTTCCCCAAATACTCTCTGGAACAATCTGATCTTCACGAGACTCACTCAGCTGCTTCAAAGGCTGACAGGGGGCTTTTATATATATGTTTGTCTATGCCATAGACAATGCTTCTGCTGGAACCACCAGCAAAACAAACTGGCTGTGCCTGCCCATACATGCAGAGACAATTGGGGAAGCTGAAGTGCTTCATTTGCACTATTGTGCTTTTCAAATCACCTCTTTCAAATTTTTTTGCATAGCCCTAATATTCAGAAATGAAGGAGGCCAGACTGCCAACATTAATTCAAGATGGCCTGCAACATGACTTTAAGGTTCAAGAGATAATGTTTGATAGCTTGGAAATGTAGCCTTTGCAATTGCCTCTTTTTCATTTATTTTTTGGTCTCCTTAGTGCCTCTCTTAAGGAAAAACCATATCCGCAGGATGATGCCAGAATGTCAGTACAAACCAAGTTATGTGGTCAATGGATTCAAACTACAGCGCTACCAGGGTCTTAATTTTGTGAGTCTCATTTCTCAATTCAAGTCTTTTTGCAGCTTATGCACATTGCCATCTGAAGGTATCAAGCGATGGCTTGTATTGAAATAACATAGTTGTACATAGTATCATCTGATAGTTGCCTATCAACCAATAGTTGTATAATCTTGAAGCCTACTGGGGAATTTGGTCCTGATTCTGATGAGTATTCCACATTAGTTGTGGAGTTATTTTTTCACTAATTAATACTATCCAAGCTTTATTTGCTGGCTGTACTGCCATAAGAAAATAATTTGAGTCTTACCTAGCCTACTTGCAGTAGAGATTTTTGTGACAATGGGCCTCATTATTCAGTTTTGTATGATGGCAGCAGACATGGACCTCCTAAAATGTTTAAAACCCCCAAATCTCAAAAGATGATTTATCTAATATTATTTTTCATTGATTTTACCCTTAAGAGTTCAAGATCCCAGATGAAAACTCCCAAATATTGTTTAGCAGTTCCAAAATTTCATTTCATTGCTTTTAAAAATAATATTCTAGATATTTAATTTAATTTTTGTTGTATGGCATTTAGAGATGGCTCAGATATCATACCATAACTGATCTATGCATTATGATCCTACTGGATAGAAAGTTTGGAAACTAAGGTTATCTTTAGTTGTATAGTCAGCTCACACTTCCAGCCTTACTGTGAAGAAGCATAATGTCTTATTTCTCATGTATGATTAATTGAATGACATGACCTTTTAAAACTCTGACCCTAATTGGTAAAATCTGCTGCATTAAATTAGCCCCTGCTAATTCATCCATTTTTTAAAATACATTGTCCATTTGAAGGAATCTTGCTAGAAATGACCTTTATGCTGATATTGTGGCTCTACTTCATGCTTTCTGGGAATTCCAGTTGTGTTCTCAATGCACTATAGCACTGGTCCCCAACCCATGGGCTGCATCCCAATACCAGGCCACAGCCTGTTCAAAACCGGGCCACATGAGCAATGGGCAAGAACGCATGTGCGTACAAAACTCCACTTGCTGAGTGAAGGGCACTTGTCACTCACACATACCCCGCGCTGGCCCAGGCTGGGTGGAAATGTTGGGGACTGCTGATGTATAGTGCACTAAACTGGGAAAGTTTGGACTAGAAAATATTCTAAAATAAAATCCGTTGCTCAGAGTGGGATTAACCTCAGATAAGTATGTAGAGGGTTGACCCTGAGTATCTTTATGTTCATCAAATAATATCTCCAACCCAACTGTATTAATCGTGGACTTATGGGAGTTGAAATGCAACATAGTGGAAGGCACTCCTATATTGAATAATTTTGCTGAAAAAATATATGCTTGTTGCTCTTGGGAGGCCCTTGAAGGATTTGAATGACAGAGATGCTAATTTTACATGGTTATGTTTCCATGATTTTGTTTGTTTTTGAGAGTGAATGTTTGGCTGAAAGGCTTTAAAATATTATGATATAAATTATTTATTAATTGCCTTTCCAATCTCATAGAGCCAGTTTGGAAGTTGTTGTTATAGGTAAAATAGGAACCGGAATGTGTTTTGGTTATACTTGCCACCTTGAATTATTTGTAAAAATAACAAAGGCAGGGAAAAAATTAAATAAAACAATAAATAAAATAAAGCTGTGTTTCCAGGTTCGATTGTCCTTTGTGTATCCCAATGACTACACCCGGTTGACCCACATGGATTCACTTAACAAATGCATCTACCAGGAAAGTGACTTGTATCTGAACAGGTAAATAAATTCCTCCCATAACTTTTTGTTATGACTGTTAAAATCTTTTTCAACAACTGGAATTTTCCTTTAGGCTAATGGGTTCAGAGAATGACTGATAGTGTATTGAATCTGAAAGGGGATTGAAAAGACTTACGCACTTTTAAAATTTTGTTTTCTGATTAAAAAATAGTGAAAATCCATTTGTCAGGGACTGATGGCTAGAATTTGTTGGCATTCTTTCTCGGTTTGTCCCTGCCCCAGATAAATATTTCATGAGCATCAAGAATTAGCTGATGCAGTAAAAAAAAAAAAATAGCTGAGAATTCACTGACATGTAATTTTTCTGTGTTTTGGGAAAAGCAATTTGATTGTCTGAAGCTTGAAAATGGCACACTTTGGGAAAATTGTCATCAATTGATTCCCCATTCAAAGTTACAATCTATCTGGAAAAAAAGACAGGTACAACTCGGTTCTGAAGTGCCTAAGTTGCACCCTCCCCCCGCTTCAGGTGCCCCACAACACAATTGTTTTTATGGCCATTTGCATCATCCCATGGTCATGTAACTGGGTTTTGTGATGGTTTTGCCAAAATAGTTCCATAGCAAACAATGAGTTCACTTAACAACTGCAGTGTTTGTTTAATGACTGCTGCATTCTGGCTATCTCAAAAATGTTTTAAAATCGGTTTGGTTGCCCTGACCCATTTCGGTGACCATTGTGACATATGACCATCATGGGCTGGCTCCATTACGGTTGTATATCAGGGAGGGGATATCAAATGCTGGCCCTGTGAAGTAACTGGCATAAATCTTGCAGGTTTGGATTTTCCAAGTACATGCAAATGGATCCACCGGAAGATGGATTAAAAACACCAGGTATGTATCTTTATGTCAGATGTGGAAGCTAGCTTTACCTTTTTCTCTCTCTTGTGCTTTAAGGCTGATAAAATGATTTTAAAAAATGCATTAGCATTTAGCATTAGATTAAATCTAATTAATCTAGTTTAGCATTGTATTAGATTCTTTATCTCTTGCAATCACAAAGAATAAATTATTAATTTGGACAAGATGTTTGGATCTTCTTTGTTCAAAATACCCAAAAAAACCCAAAAAGCATCAGTACAAAAACTGAGAATGCCTTCACTTTTCCCCTTGCAAACAGCAACCCAGGCACAATTTATACTGTGGAAATATCTTATTTCTCAACTCTTAACAATAAACAAGTTGGCCACTCTTGCTATATTTTAGGGGTTTTTTCTTTAAACAATAATGCATAAAAATAAAATCCCTTCAAAGATTGAGTGAAATAGAACATATTATATAGCTTTAGCACAAATACTTCGTAAATTAAAATTATGGTTTTGCGTAACATTTTCTGGGTGGAGAGACTTTAGTTTTGAGAGACTTTCTTCCCGGAATAGTTGTTGAAGCCAGAATAAAATATATATTTGAATTAGTTTCATTTATTTATACTGCATTTAGCAAAACTTAAATGCTGTCGATATGAATACAGGCAAGCAAGTCATCGTATGATTGGACCCAATTTTATGACCACTTTTTTACCATGGTCATTAAATGAATCCCCATGGTTGTTAACTGAATTGTGCAGTCATTAAGCGAATTTGGTTTTCTCAGTTGACTTTGCTTGTCAGAAGCTGGCTGGGAAGGTCACAAATTGCAATTTTGTACTGCAAGATGCTGCAACTATAATAAATACAAGTCAGTTGCCAAGCACCCAAATTGTAGGATTGTTGCAATGGTGGTAACTTTGAGAATGGGCCATAAGTCACTTTTTAACAGGCTGTTGTAACCTCAAGCCATCTTTAAATAAACATTCATAAGTCAAGGACTACCTGCACACTATATAGAGAGTATATAGATAGGTGGGGAAGTTCCCTGGAGGCTCGTGCAGATTTACATTCAGCGCCTTTAATGTAGATGTTTGGGACCCAGTATCTCTAGTCAAATGAGAAACACAGTTTTTTTGCAGCACTTCAGTTTTGTATTCAGTACAACAATACCACTCTCCTACTTTCTACAACACTCTTCAAAAACCTTTATGCATCTCTTAGCTTAAGAAACAATAGCTCTTTGAGATTGGATTGAAGCAAGAAAGTGAGCAAGTGGTTAACTTCATTGCTTTGTCAAAACTTGGAGACAAAATAACCAATACAATCAATTCGGTCAGAATAGAGCTGGAAGGAACCTTGGAGGTCTTCTAGTCCAACCCCCTGCTCAAGCAGGAGACCCTGGGCCTATACCATTTCAGACAAGCGACTGTCCAATCTCTTCTTAAAAACTTCCAGTCATAAAGCACCTACAACTTCTGAAGGCAAGCAGTTCCACAGGTTAATTGCCGTCACTGCTAGGAAGTTTCTCCTTAATTTCAGGTTGCTTCTTTCCTTGATTAATTTCCATCCATTGTTTCTTGTCCTGTATGATATGTAATTTTATTATTTCTTTTTAAATAGCATGTGATTGGCGAAACATAACTACTACTATAGAAGATATGAAGTACAACCAAAAATATATGACTGCTGATAGAACAGAATATACAGAATACCGATGAAAAGAGAGACATCTGAAGAAACTAAAAATATATTCATGAAGTGCTAAGATAGAACTAGTTCAATGGTTAAACATATTATTAAATCTAGCCATACAGACCGTCTGTTCCTCCTAGATTTTGGAACAATTTGTTATTTCAGTACAATGATACTTATGTAATAGAGGTTTAATGTTCAATTATTTGGGTGCCTTAGTGTACTGAATATAAATAAGAGAAAGAAAAAGTTGATATTTGGTAACTATAATTTCTTTCAGCTTATGAAGAGGACAATTTTGATGATGCTCAGTATGCAGATCCTGAAGCAGCCGAGATAAAGCCAGCAAAAGACCATGTTGCAGCTGTTCAATATGACAATGTTTATGCTGACCCAGCTCAGAAACGTCGGAATATCTTGTCAGTTATCCAAAAAAGGCAGAAGAAAGATGAGAACAGATATAAAACCAAAGCAGAAAGTTATTCTACAGCAAGGACCTCACATTTGATATTCAGTGAAAACTTTCAAAACCTTCAAGACGGGAATGCCCATAAATCGACAACCAAAAGGAAAGAAGGAGGCAAGGATTTGCAGACTGGCAAAAGACCCAAGATGACTAAGGAACGTGGAAATTCAACAAGAGAAGTCAGTCAAGCTCAGTTAGGCTTTAATGCAACCAGAAACAAAAAAGCCTTATTGGATACCATCAAAACCGGAAGGGACCCCCCAAAAGTTGAAGAAGAAACTGGCAAGACAACCCTCCGAGAACAGCCTATCCATGAGGAACAATGGCTTAATCAAATAGATTCATACATAGCCCAACATAAAGCCGCAGATGCCGCTAATGTCGTTTTTGGTAGGAGGGATCTGGATTCCAAGCAGCAAGTCAGGACTGATTCCTCCCACCCAGCAACACGAAAGGAAGAAGCTGTTACAATAGTGGAAGAAGAAAATGAAGACGAAGAAGAAGCAGAAGAAAATGAAGATGATTTATTTGCTGCCCCTCCTCTTTTCTATGACCCAATAGTGAATTGGAAGCAGACTTTCAAGGCAAGCAATGTAGACTTCCAAGCTTTACGGTCAGACTGGATTGATTTGAAGTGTAACACTTCAGGGAACCTGCTCTTAAAAGAGAAGGAAGCCTTCATGGTTGTTCAAGTGTTCCTTAAAAAACTGAAGCAGAAAACCAAAGGGTAAGATGGAAGAGACCTTGCAGTCACTCAGATCTTTACAAAATGAGAACTGTAGTACACAGTATAAAATGGGATTGCAGATGGATTATATAGGCTTAAATAAGTAGTTAGGAATAACTCCAGATCTCAATGTGATGATGTTTTGTTGAAGACTTAGGACAGTGATGGCGAACCTTTTAGAGAGCGAATGCCTGAAAACTGGCCACACCCCCGCTCCACCCCCCTGCCCGCCGCTGCTCTGCCCCCCCATCCCCCGCCCCACCTGCCTACAGGACCACTCACCGCCTCCAGGGCCCGCCGCAGATCACCCAAGCAGCCCAGCAGCACCATGGCGGCCACACCCTCTGCCCATGCCCTGCAGCATCAACTGCATGATGGGACGTGAGGGCAGACTCTTGTCTACGCTGCCTGGCTGCCATGTCCTTGGCTGCGCTGTTCCGTGTGGGCCACCCTCGGGGGCGACTCTCCTTCAGGGGGGCTGCTGGAGAGGAGGGGGTCACAGGGGGAGGCAAGGCTGGAGCAACGGCATGTGTGCCCACAGAGAGGGCTCCAAGTGCCGCCTCTGGCACCCGTGCCATAGGTTCGCCACTACTGACTTAGGAAGTAAGGGATGTAAAGGGTCTTTTGTTTCTACTATTCAGACATTTCTAGTTGGCAGATTAGATTTACACAGATGAAAATCTCAAATGATGTAGCCAAATCTCACTGCTAACTAGACAAGGCAGCAATATACAGTTGGAACTAGGGTGCTGATCTTGGATGCAAAATCTTATTAGTGATCAGTCCCAGGTACCCAACAAGGCATACCTCCAGTTAAAGATGGAATAGAGCGTTCTCACAAGCATGGTGAGAACAGGAAGATGGTGTTATATAGGTAGTCCTCGATTTACAACCACAATTGAGCCCAACATTTATGTTGCTAAGTGAAACATTTGTTAAATGAGTTTTGCCCCATTTTACAACTTTTCTTGCTATAGTTGTTGATTAATCAATCAATCAATTTATTATTCCAGTCAAAGGCCAACAGATAAATTAAACATTCAAATAAAACAAAACCAAACAGAACCAACACAAGAAAACATAGCAATATATTACAATTAATGATGTAATCAATGGGTGACCAAGGTCTGCCTGATTTTACAGACAGTATAACAAACCTAGCTACCTTCAGAAAAACTGAATCGTACTGACCTGACAATAAAAATACATTGAGTATAAGCTAATGCTGGATAAAAACCACAGGTGTTAAGTTGGTAAATTAGTCACACGTTTGTTAAGTGAATCTGGCTTCCCCATTGACTTTGCTTGTCAGAAGTTCGCAAAAAGGGTGATCGCATGTCCCTGGGACACTGCAACCATCATAAATGTGAGTCAGCTGCCAAGCGTCTGAATTTTGACCATGTGATCATGGGGATGCTGCAATGGTCGTAAGTGTGAAAAACGGTCATAAGTCCCTTTGTCCAGTGATGTTGTAACTTTGAACAGTCATTAAATGAACCGTTGTAAGTCGAAGACTACTTGTATATGCTAAATCAGGGGTAGGCAACCCAAAACACTCAAAGAGCCACTTGGACCCGTTTCCCACCAAAAACAAAACACTGGGAGCTGCAAAACCCTTTTGATATCTAAAATGAAGATAATACTGCATGTATCCTTTTTTACCTTTATTATAGGTATATATATATATATCTTATCTGTTGGGTGAGGCACCTGGTCTACCAACTATAAATCAGTCTGTTCTGCATTTACCTCCAATCTAGGAGCATGTTTTTTACTCATAAAGGTAAAAAAGGATATATGCAGTGTTATCTTCATTTTAGATATCAAAAGGGTCTCTCTCTCTATCTCTCCCTCCCTCCCTCTCTCTTTCTGCCCTTGGTCTGCCAGTCCTCTTCCCCCACTCTCTTTTTCTCTCTCTCTCTCTCTTTCCTCTCTCTCTCTCGCTCCCTCCCTCTCCCTCCCTCTCTTTCTCTCTCTCTCCCCCTCCCTCTCTCCAATCTTCTGCTCACCTGGCAAGCTGGCTTCAAGCTGTTCTCCAACAAGCTCAGGGGTAGGCAACCTCGGCTCTTTTATGACTCATGGACTTCAACTCCCAGAATTCCTGAGTCAGCATAGCTGGGCTAGCTAGCTCTCTCCTGCTCTTCCTGCTTCCTGCAGAGACACAGCAAAGGGAGGAGCCTCGCCCAAAAAGCTTTTCAGCTCCTCAGAGAACACCATGAGTCTACTCTCTTTACACATACAGAGAGAGAGAGAGAGAGGGAGAGAGAGAGAGAGAGAGAGAGAAGCAGGGAAGCGCAAGTGCCTCTTTCTGTCTCTGTCTCTCTCTGCAAATGGCAGAGGAGGCTGGGAGCCACAGGGGAAGGCTCAAAGAGCCGCATGCAGCTCCGGAGCCGCAGGTTGCCGACCTGTGTGCTAAATGTATTAATTCTGGTTTAAAAACCACTGTCAGCCTTCCCAGATAGGCCAGACAGAGTCGTGACCAGATAAACTAATTATTGTAAGTCTACATTAACCAAATCTTGCCAGTCTGAAAGTACAGACCTCCTGCCATCTCCTTTACAGTAGCTGAAAAGCTACTGAGGGTCCTTTTTGAGCTTCTTTCTCCACCTGGTTTGCAAGTGGAAGCTATGCCCTCTCTTATTTGACTGTTCCCTAGACCAGGGGTCCCCAACCCTTGGTCCATGGACCGGTACCGGGCCTCGGCATGCCAGCAACTGGTCCACGCAAACAAGCAAAACCCCATCTGCGGGATGCAGGCAGCACACAAAACCATGCACCCTCTGGTCCATGGAAAAACCTTTTTCCATGGAAGCGGTCCCTGGTGCCCAAAAGGTTGGGGACCTCTGCCCTAGGCAATATTTCTTTGCCCTGTCTCCCACAGTCTTCCTCACATATCATTGCAACTGTTCTGCTGACAAATGAAATGTTCGAGGAGAATAACTAAATATCTGCACTTTCTTGCAGGATTCAGGTCTGTGCAATCAGCTGAGGCACTAGGATTGCCCTGTCCTGTTCCTTATATGATCCATAGAAGCAAATGGCCATGAATAGTTGAATTATGAGGTGCTGAAGTTGTAGCACATGGGCCATTTTAACAAAGCCAGTACATGTTTTTACCAGCTGCGTGATGATATTCCCCTAAAGTGGGTAGGAAAAAAAAGATACTTAGAAAGGATAATATAATGGAGATCTTAGGGATGTCTGACGATCTTTAGGAGTCCAAACTGAAATAAATCACACCGAAAACACAGGGAAGATCTTTGCTGAGCATCAGGGCAGTGAGTTATGTCTGGTCAGCCCCAGCCAGTGGTGGGATTCAGCCAGTTTGCATCAGTTCAGTAGAACCGGTAGCTAAATTTTGTTGAGTTGGAGAAACAGCTGAATCCATGCTGCTTCTGGAAATCTGTTCTAGGCCTCAGAAGCCTGGAGGAGGTCTCCCAGGTCTAGAATGGCCTGCTGGAAGTGCATTAATGTCACTTCCGGAAGTCTGTTCTAGGTCTAGTGGAGGCCTCCCAGACCTAGAATGGTCTGTCGGAAGTGCATTGATGTCACTTCTGGAAGTCTGTTCTAGGCCTCGGAGGCCTGGAGGAGGCCTCCCAGGCCTAGAACAGCCCACAGGAAGTGTGTTGATATCACTTTCGGAAGTCCACTCTAGGCCTCAGAGGCACAGATCTGCATCCACATGGAGAACCGGATGTTAAGGTATTTGAATCCCACCACTGGCCCCAGCCCTAACCCCAAAATCTAATTAGAGTTGTTCCCATTTCCAGGCGGTTCCAATTGGAGCGCATTGTGAATGTGGAGAAGCGTCAAGACTACTTACGGGGCAGCCGCTACTTTCTGGAGCTGGAACTGTTGGAGCAGGGAAAGCGCCGAGTCCGTTTCTCAGAATATGTCTATGCACGTGGCTGGCATGGAAACAGCAACGGAGAGGAGGAAGCTAATATGAAGGAGCTGGCATGGGGCCACCGACGTCGCCTGCTGACCAGCACGGAGGAGCCTGTTCTCTGCTGGCCATTAAGCTTCTTATGGAATCACCGTGCAGTTGTCCACTTTATAGTGCCTGGTAATTGGACAGAATTGATATCTTTAAGCGAACAGAATGTTGTGTGTATTGTTAGAATAATAGCTGGGAGCACAATAGACTTGGGTGTCCTCCCTGTTAACCAGGAGGAATTATATTCATGGAGTCCTTGGTGCTCTCTGAGCTGAGAGAGGTCCAAGGACCCCACAGTTCAACCCTGAACTGCAAATATTCTCTTCTATCGGAATTATATTTAATTAGCTGTTCAAAATAAGAGAATGAAAGGCCTCTGCCGCAATTTGTTCCTAGATTTAAGTCATCATAATTCCTGTTAGATTCAGTAACTCCAATTACTCTTGTAAATGCTGCTGTCTCTTTCCTGTTCTTCCAAAGCCATACATCTCATACTCAAGATTCTCTTTCAAATGATATAGGGCAAATATTAAACTTTAGTTCTGAGCCATCCTAGTATTTGGATACTTGGTATTTGACTATTTGTCGCACTAAAAATATGCAGAAAATACATTTTAAAGTCGATAACGGAATACCTTACATCACACCCCAAAATATTTTTTCCAGTTTTGCCCAGATTACAATATCACTCAAACCTCCAGTGGGAGGTGTTTCCAGAGGCTGACCCACTGATGGAAAAGCAACATTTCCAGGGCAGAGCATTTTGCACCAACCAAAATTTCCAGGTGGCTTTTAAAGCATCCCTTGTAGGATCTGATGCTTTAGCCTAATCTGGTGACAAAGAAAGTGTGAGGCAGTGCAGCCAGATCTTTTAAGTCTCAAGTGAGGCCACAACTTGCTGGGTACAGCCCCACTGGGCCAGGGAGCCCACCTGCTGATTTAAGAAGAGCTGCCAGTATTATACATGCAGGTAGTCCTCGCCTTATGCCTATAATTGAGCCCAAAATCTCTGTTGCTAAGCGAGACTGTTGTTAAGTGAGTTTTGCCCTGGTTTACGACCTTTCTTGCCATAGTTGTTAAGTGAATTACTGCAGTTGTTGAGTTAGTAACACAGTTGTAAAGTGAATCTGGCTTCCCCGTTGACTTTGCTTACCAGAAGGTCACACAAAGGGATCACGTGACTTTGGGCACCGCAACCGTCATAAATACACGCCAGTTGCCAAATGTCACAATTTTGATCTCATGACTGTGTGAATGCTGCAACCATCATAAGTATGAAAAATGGTCATAAGTCTTCTTCTTCCAGTGCCATTATAACTTCAAATAATCACCAAACGATAGGTTACAAGTCGAGGGCCATGTATATAAAATACGTAATTGGCCACTAAGTCTTGTGCCTAACCTTGCATCTGGGGCACATCGGTCCAATCTTAATGCTGGTTTTGCTTTGATTCTCTTCTTTTCCTTCTCTCAATCAGTGAAAAATCAGGCCCGTTGGGTGAAGCAGTTCATTTTTGACATGGAAGAGCTATTTAGGATTACCAAGGACCCCTATTTCAATGTCATCATTGTAGACTACAGCAGTGATGACATGGATATAGAAAAAACTCTGAAACGGTCCACCTTGCATAGGTAAGGATTTATTTACCTTAGGAAACGTGTTTTCAGATAGAAGCAGAAGCCACTGTATTCCGAGTCTATAAACAGATGATACAGTAATGAAACTTTTTACTTAAAGAGGTTTTACTGGCTTCTGAAGCTATGAATTTCTCTTGTCATCCAGTTTCATTCTGGAGCACTAAATAGCTGCAGGAGTTTGGAGTTTGGAGTTTTTTTGTTGAATGCAAAAATAACCCAAGGCAGGGATCATAAATTTATGAATGATTAACTCAACATTTAGAATCATCTCTAAAAATGATCAAGTATTTCTTGAGAATGCCAACTCTTGAAACATGTTTATTCTTACATGAGTTTTTACAAGATCAGAAAGATGCTCAGTGAAATCTCACCATATCTTATTAGGATTTTAGCCATGTTATAAATTGTTGATATTTGAAAAAAATACTTATCTTTGTCCAAAGTCTTCATTTGAGTCACCCACTTAATTCTACCTGTAATTGACTCCTTTCACTATATTTACTCATAGTCAGGTACAACAAATTTACCTTGCCAGCATTACACTTTCTTGCTTGTAGGAATGTCAACTCACAAGCCTGCTTTCAGATTTTCATTTTATGGATGGAAGACTGAAATTGAGAAATAGTTTATTTCAAAACAGACGGTGACTCACAACAGATCTGAGAAAGGATTGCAAGAACTTCCATAGCCCACTCTGTGACAATTATAACTCCATTTTCTCTCATTTCTCTTCAGCTACCAATACTTGCGATTGACTGGGAATTTTGAGAGGTCTAAAGGTCTACAGGCTGGCATAGACAAAGTCAGGGTGAGTGGTGAGCGTTTGCAATGTAGACTGTTACGTGGCTACAACAATAAGGAAAAAGCATTTAAAGATAATCATCTTAGCACAACTATTTTCAAATAAGATGATTCAGCTGCGTTGGCTTCTCTGCTTCACAAGCTGCTAGTTTTGCTTCCAGGTGCATCATTTATAAAGCTCAGTCTGGCACATGAGAGACTATCTTCCATAGTTTCTGCCTGGCTAGCACACATTGACACAGTTGGTGTTCTTTGGGTCTCTGATGAAACCGTGCTATTTATAGGATCCCAGAAAGCATGTCTTCTCTGTCATGGATCCCCCATTGAAAACCACATGGCCACCAGCATATTGGTACTCCAGCAAGCTTTGAAGCTCTGGATATTCTCCCAAACTTTGGGTTAAAATGGATGGAGTCCCTTGTGTTTCTGCCTATGTTTTTGTATAAAAAGGTCAGATCCCACTGTGTTTTTTTCTGTATTGTATTTTTATTGTTTATCATACTTTGAGCTTCCCAGAGAATATATCAAATGAATAGATAGTTCATAAAGATAACATTTAGTTTACAGACAATCAGTTATTCAGGAGAAAATTGGAAAATAGGGGAAAATACCTTTTCTAAGGAAAGGAGAAGAGGCAATGGACGAGCTAAAGAAAAATTAATCTTAACATTTAGATTAAACTTTTCAATGTTAGCAATATTTCAGCAATTAAGAAAGAAATGGAAAGAATTTTTGTTTCCTGCAAGCTTTCTCAAAATCATTTCTGCATTTTTAAGAGATGCTTGTCTGGTGATGGGATCCTGTACACATGAGAATCCTTGACAGGTCTATATATCTATACTGGAACAAAACCAATACAAAATAAAGGAAATATTCTCTTCAGGAGTCAGAGCAGAAATAGCCGTGGAGGTACAGAAGCCTATGGCCTAATTGGAGGAGATGATTCTCCTTGATTTAGACATGGCTACAACTGCACGTAGGCATCAACGCATACCTAGACTGCAAAAGGATTTATAGGTAAGCGTAGGTTGCAAATAGTTGCAAACAGGCTGATGCGTACATCTCCCAAATCTCAACTATCTGCTGTGCAGAGATGCACATTCTGCATGCTAATTGATTGGTCCTTTGCTGTTTGAATGCTCCTTGGCCAGAACACTAACATTCACAGAAAGATAAAATGCAACAGCTATGCAACCGTCTCTGAACTATGGTTCAGTGATGTGCACTGATGGAGAAGTCTAACACACCTTCAGACTCTTCTTTCATGCAAAATGGATATTTTGTTGTGTTTTGTTGGATCCCCTTGATCTGGGGATATTTTGTTGTGTTTTGTTGAATTTCCTCAGCAGCAGCCTGATGACAAGAGGATGGTGCCAGGATTTTTGTCTTCTATGAAAGTTAAGGGGCCACCCCAGATCTGGGGGAAAGAGGCTGTGGAGAGAAGCCCATTGAATTAGGAAATAACAGAATTAACAGCTCTGTATCTTTGCCTACAGGATTCTCACAGCATCATTTTTCTTTGTGATCTGCACATCCATTTCCCAGCAGGGTTCATTGACTCTGTTCGGAAGCACTGCGTGGAAGGGAAAATGGCCTTTGCACCCATAGTTATGAGGCTGAAGTGTGGTGCGACTCCACAACATCCAGATGGTAAGGGGTTGGTTGTGGGCAAATGACGCTTCAAAAGTAGATTTATTTTCTGGGCAGCTTTCCCTAAATGAACATTCTCTGGAAATATAAGAGATCAGCCCCCATAATCTCCAGCCCAGAAATACTTTGGTGCAGTAGCCAATTTTTCTGTACTTGGGGAATAACTGCTTTCTTCATATAATGAAGAATATTATATTCTGTTTATTTTAACTGAGTATGGCTTTACCTTCACCAGTAAGAGAGCCAATTTGATCTAATCAGGGGTTCTCAACCTTGGCAACTTTAAGACTTGTGGACTTCAACTCCCAGAATTCCTCAGCCAGCTTTGCTGGCTGAGGAATTCTGGGAGTTGAAGTCCACAAGTCTTAAAGTTGCCAAGGTTGAGAACCCCTGAAATGGTTAAGGTGCCAGGCTAGAAAGCAAGAGACTGTGAGTTTGGGTCCTGCCTTAGTCCTGAAAGCCAGTTGAGTGGCTGTCTCAGCCCAACTCATCTCACAGGGTTGTTTGTTGTGGGGAAAATAGGAGGAGGAAGGTGTGTTGGATATGTTTGCTGCCTTTATTAGAAATCAGGATTTTCTAATCAGGATTAGAATCATGGTCTCCTGGTTGCTAGCCTGGTATCTTATCCTCTTCACCAAACTGGCTCTCTGTTAATTTATCACAAACACTGTATTATAAAAATAATTGATTGCTAAACAATGAACAGGCACACACAAAACCTTATTAAATTTCAACGACTTGACAATGAACTCATTTTGGCTCCATTTTGATTCTGGAATATTTCAAATCAAAATCAGTATACATATTGTGATTGCATTACTATTATATTAGACACATGTCTAATTTTCAGTTGTGTGAAGAACTGAATTTCTTGAATTGAAATCTCATATATCTTTCACAGCAATGTTTTTAAAAAGCGGGGGGGAGAAAACCTGTCCAATCCTATCTGTAAAGATCTAACATGTTACAGAGAAAAGTTCTAACTGAGCCATATGCCAGTCATAACTTTCTTAAACTCTGCTTTCTAGAAGAAGATTGTTCACTTATTTTAACAGCTACAACTCAGTTCTGAAAGTGTGGAGTCCTTGGTGCTCTCTGGGTTTTTTCTTTTTTTTCTTGCAGATATACTGACAATGTTATCTAGTTAGGTAATGAAATGTTTGCAAGAAAACGACCAAGCTCAGAGAGCACCAAGGAACCCACGTTTTAACCCCTGGTCTGTAAATATTATCTTCTACTGGTAATTCTGAGTATCTAAGAAAGAAGTTGGTCATTAATGTAGCAGAAAAAATCTGTAGGTATTATCTTGTGGAAAAATCCCAACGGATAAAATTTCAGTGAAACAGCAATTGCATCTCATTAGAGTTTTATGTCATCAATTTTTAATTTGTTCCCCTGTAATATTAGATTTCCTTACCGATGTTGCTAGTCATCGGAATTTGAAGTGTGCAAGCCAATTAAATCTACTTCATACCTATGCATACAGACACCATGGATGACCTGGGGACTTTATTTTTCATTTTTTTTAAAAAAAGGAAGAGGTTGTGGCTGATAACTATTATGTTTTTTTGTCTTTATAGGCTACTGGGAAGTTAATGGTTTTGGTCTCCTGGGCATATATAAATCTGATTTGCTTCGTATCGGTGGAATGAATACCCAAGAATTCCGTGACAAATGGGGAGGAGAAGACTGGGAACTCTTGGACAGGTCAGTAGGAATATGGTAGCCATCTCTGAGGACAGTTCAGTCAATTCTCAACAGCTCATATCTATCACATATACCCTCTGATCTGGGACAAGAACCCTCAATATCTGTAAAATTCGCTCCTCTGATCAAACATCACCAGGCACATCAATTACTATGCTCGTCCTTACTTCACTATTCTGCTCTTCACACCACCTGATAGCCACGTTAGAGTCCATTTTGTCCCCTGCTCATATCCCTACACGAGACCAACCCTTCCTTGCTAAGGGGGGGGGAGGCAGGGAATCCCAGATGAGCACCCCACGTGTAGCGTTACTCCCTCAGAGGCTGCCAGGCCCTCCCAGGCCTGCTCCCCTCCATCACGCTCTGCAGCTGCTGTGCTCTCAAGGTGTTGGTAAAGTGTCCTTTCTAGCAGAAGCTCACGCGAAGTGAGGAGGTGGCAGATTTCGTCGTCAAAGGGGGGGGGGCTTTCAGGAACAAAGATGACCAGCCCCTAGCCCCAATAGTCAATGCGTGATGGTGTTTAACAGCCCCAGGCAGTCATAGCAGCAATAGTCAATAATTTCACAGCAGCCGTTTGGAACGAAGTGGGGTGGGGAAAGCCCCGGCTCCAGGCAGCGATAGGAACACAAAAGAAGGTAGTCAGCATTCTGCAATAACAGCGCAAGGCCAACTCTCCACAATGTCTATAACTTGCACAAATAACAATAATCAAAGTTTGGATGGCCGCTGGTCTCCAAAGCAGTAATGACCAACCTCTCCTTCTCTTCTGTTGGCGCTCACAGTCTCAGCTCTCGTTGGTGTCAAAACCCCTTTCCCCCCTTTCCTTTATTGTTAAAATCTGAATTTAGCAACCCCAGCAACTTTCTCCTCACTTTCTCTCTTGCCTCCGCTCGGGATATCCCCCCCCCCCTGCAAAAGAAAGCAATAAAATTCCGCCTTCTCACCATAGTTCAAAGGCCTCAATTTTTTGGCACTCAGCCTTTCTTATGGTCCAACTTTCACAGCCATACATTGCAACTGGGAAAACCATGGCCTGGACTATACGCACTTTTGTTGGCAGGGTGATGTCTCTGCTTTTTAGTATGCTGTCTAGATTTGCCATAGCTTTCCTCCCCAGGAGCAAGCGTCTTTTAATAATAACACTCTTAATATTTAGCGAACAGCATGTTATCTGGGTTCATGTATTTAAAAAACAATGAATAATAATTAATTTCTGTATTATCATAAACAATATGTTAGTTAATCGCGCAATAGTCTTCTTTTTACTAGTATATATTCAATGTTACATAGTAATATCACCTTCCTTTCTCTCTAACTTGTTTCTCTAGCCTAGATCTACCTTTATATTGTCATGCTCATTTAAACAAAACAAAATTGTTCCTAAACTCATATGTAAAACAAAGCTATAAATCATGGTTTGCTATCCAAACCATGTGTTTGGATTTAATATGATACGCTATGTTTGCGTATCATATTAAACCCAAACCAAGCCAATCACATAACAGTTTACCACTGTAATGTTTAGCACCCAAGATCTGTGTGGGTCGTCCTCAACTTATAAGCAATTTTTTTAGTGACTATTCATAGTTAAAATAGTCCTCACTCTTACAACTATTGCAGCTATTACTCTTACAACTATCACTCTTATTATTTGTAATAGTACATGATCCCCGTGATCATGTGATCAGAGTTGAGACACTTGACAACAGGCAAGTATTTATAAATATATATTATTAATTTATTAGCATCCCCCACCTGTGACCTTTTGACAAGCAAAGTTAATGAGAGAAGCTGGATTGGCTTAACAACCCACATGATTCACTTAACAACAATAAAATCAAGTATGATTCATTTTAATATGCCTTGCTTAGAAATTCAAATTCTGGTCCCAATTGTGGTTCTAATTATATTATATTCTTACGTTATTGCACATCACCCAAAATGTCATGAGAAGAGATGCTATATAAATTGGATAAATAAATATTGAAATTTCCTCCACCTTCTCTTACAGGATATTTCAGGCAGGCCTGGAGGTAGAGAGACTTTATATCAGGAATTTCTTCCACCACTATCACTCCAGGAGGGGCATGTGGAATCGACGTGTTTTGCAGATCTGACACACCATCTTTCCACTTCTGAATCCCATTTTGCGTTTTCTCTGGACACATCACTAAGAAGACACCCGTTCTCTTTTCCACAGTGATCACAGCATAAATTCTGATGCTCAAGCAAAAAAAAAAAAAAAGACAAAATGGAGAGTTTTCATTTAACCACTGGAAAGAACTGACAAGAGAACGATCCCGTTTCCACAATCTTCTGTCCAAATAGTTGATTTTCAGAGGGCGAAAAACTTTCTCACCAGCATATCACAGTCTTTACTCGCTGAAGAATCTCTTTATGGTGCCTTCTTTGTATGGATTTTTTTAAAAAAAACAAACAAACCAGAACGCTTTCAATTCATTCTTAGCAAAAATTTTAAAAAGCAATGGATTATTAAATGGATTAATACAGACTTCCATGATGTCTAAAATCCTGAAGGATCTCCAATGTTTGAAGGACAAATAGTCTTATCACCAAAAAACAAAATAATATTGTGAAAGACTCCAAACAGAAAGGTGCCAGAACTGAAATGCTTTACATAGTATGCTACAAGAGGATTATACCCTCATTAGATTTATTTGTAAGGGCGATGCTCTTTTTTTGAGGTAATTTAACAACCAAAAAAAAAACTAAAATTCATGCCTTTGGATTAACATCAATCAATTGTTTGATCTTTGCATAGTGCTGTTCAACCTATGCAGGATATATTAAGGAATTTCTCTTCACGTCTTCTCTTTTTGTATTCTTATATTCTACTCAGGTACAGTGAAAGAAACACCGGCTTTAGAAAAATGGATATATTTTTCTTCGGTGACTATCTACTGCTTCTTTCTCTCAATCAATGGGATATTTGGTGGACTGATAGTCAAACTGCATCTGAAATCTTGCTAGGATCTGAATTGTTTTTGGCAGACACTCTTGTCAATCGTGATAATCATAGGAATGATACTGCAAATAGGAATATGACCATGGAACTGCCTGCTCTTTCTTGAATTCTCTCTGTTAACACTTGGGAAATTGACTGACATTTCAGTCGCAGACATCGATACCAAGAAGCTTCAACAGCTTTCAATATACTTTTTTTAATTTATTGTGCATCCTTACTATTTTTAGTTGGTTTCCATTTTTTATTTTAATGTATTATAAAACATTCTAAGAGAAAAAATGTTGAAGGGCAAGATATTATTGTTTATAAAATTATTTAATAAGTTATACTTTGGGATTGGGTTTTCAAACAGAAAAATAGTTTGCATGCATCTAAGAAAAGGAAGCCAATCAGTCAATTTCCTGGTGGCAAATTTTATATGAGGCAGAACGTGGACCACCTATATGGAAAGTTTATGATTACCTTAGATCAGTGTTTTTCAACCTTAGTTAGCAACTTTAAGAGGTGTGGACTTCAACTCCCAGAATTCACCAATCAGCATAGTGAATGGAGAATTTTGGGAATTGAAGTCCACATTTCTTAAGGTTGTCAAGAGTGAGAAACACTGCCTCAGATTAAGCGCACAAAGTCCTAACTGAGGAGTATATGTATACAAATGTGTATATGCACGTACATAAATCAAGCAATGACAATAATGTTATAGTCTCAGAAATGGCCTTCTTAACCTTGAAGCAATGATCACAGTAACAGAGACAAGCAGCAGAAGTCCAACAGAACATTTTACAAAAGAAACAGTTTTTCTTGTTTAATGCAGTTGTGAACGTGAATAGAAACTATATCACTGTTTCTCAACCTTGGTAGCTCAAAGATATGTGGACTTCAACTCCCAGAATTCCCTAGCCAGCTTTGCTGGCTGGGGAATTCTGGGAATTGAAGTCCACACATCTTCAGGTTGCCAAGGTTAAGAAACATTAATCCATGTCACTGCTTTACATGAGTCTAAAGCAAAAAAAAAAAAAAGCTGCCCTTTTAAGAAACTGACAGTCTTCTAGCTAAAGTCAACTCACATAGTCAATTCCATCAGTCATCAGGAAATAGTAGATTTTGATTCTTTCCTCCTCAGTGGTTAAGCCTTTACAAACCTTATGTCCTCTATCTTGTCTAAGAAGTTGCCTATCTAATCCTCCCTGCTAGCCTGAAGTAAGAGTCCTTGCTTCAAAAACTACGGAATTAAAGGAGCAAATGAATAGCTCTTATTATTTCTCCACAAGGAATTCCACATACCATTCTCTGTGGCAAGTTCTCGTGGAGGATTTTGTTCCAGCTTCTTCTGAGTCCTTTCATGTAGCAGTGGTAGGCATAGATTCTCAAGTTCACCTACCTCCTTATTGCAAAATATTAATGTTCGCAGTTTTGTTACCAAGCGATTCTTATTAACTTGTTCAGGTCGATTTTGTTGTTGCTGTGTGCTGTTTTTTCATTCAGGCACGAAGTTGAGGGGTTGTCTTCACTGTCAGTTTGTTTTGGAAAGGAAAGGAAACTGCAGCCTTGAAGAAACAAATATCACTGGATAGTTTCTTTATATACAAGCAGATATGCTGTCCTATCATTAAGGGATGTCATCCTGAAAAAAATATTTTCCTCCAGAATCCTTAATTGGTTTACATGGATGAACATTTGGTTATAAAATAAGAAAGGCTTGGGTCCAGTTTAGTTTCTGGTGATTTCAGGGACAAGTCCATCTGGGAACTTTTGGGCAAAGAAATGAGAATAATTTTCCCTTGCCTTCTTCCAGAGTGCTTTTTTTTTTCAAAGTCCTAGCCCAGGGGTAGGCAACCTTGGCTCTTTTATGACTCGTGGACTTCAATTCCCAGAATTCCTGAGCCAGCTGGCTCAGGAATTCTGGGAGTTGAAGTCCACGAGTCATAAAAGAGCCAAGGTTGCCTACCCCTGTCAAGGATCTGATATTTCCTAGTGGTAACTCATCCAAGTACCCCAGATTGTCTGGAGAGAAGCAAATAATGGCAAAATGGCAGTGGAACAGGACAATTGCCCTGTTGTCATACATGTATCCGATGCATGTTAATAAGGGTGGGCTTTCAATCACCTGGTCATTTGCTCCTGCAAGTTCCAGCTTGACACAGTCAACAAGGGTCTCCTAGCAATTATTAAACTTCTTAAGGTTTTTTTTTTAATCTATGTTTTGAAACAAGATTCCAACTTTTTCAATTACTGGAATTGAAAAGCAGAAGATAACCATCCCAACTAAAAGACATTCACACCGATTTGCTGATTTGTCTATACCTGAGAAAAATAGCCCCAGTTGCTGTTCTGGGGCTAGCAAGAGCACTGCTTAAATCAAACCTGACTGCATGTCTCCATGGACTGCAAAAGTGCTTGTTCTCAGGAAATACCCCATAAGTACAAGAAAAGAATTATTTGGGAATCTGTATCCTGGCTGTATGAAGCAGGAAAAGATGTGTGATTATTGTGTATCTGTACTGTACTCTGGAAAAGATTTATGTCCTCATTAGGGAAATTAAAGAAAGGTTAGCTTTTGCTGCAAGGAAATAAGCTTTATACTTCCAAGAGATATAACACAACTTTTTGCTTTTAGCTTTTATCAAGGAGTCTTGATCATTATTTATAAAGAACGAGATATTTCGATACTTGTATTATGAATTATGTAGCATTCTTTCCTAATTGATTCAAAGAAGTATTGTGCAGAAGAATGAAAAAGCACTAACTCTCAGAAAGTTTGCTGATTATGTCCCTTGGTTTTTAGAACTTTATGAGTACCTCTTAGGAAGGACCATGAGTAGGATATTTAATTCTTCTAGGCATTAAGGCTAGTTGCAAATACTGCGCCACAGCAGCAGCATTTAGGAATTAGATATTTAAATACTCCAAGATAGAGTCTGGATTTTTGAAAAATGCAATCAGAAAGAATTCAGTCACTCTGTCTAATGAAGTGTACTGCAGAAGAACCCCATAGTGGCTTATTCTGTGTAAGCTGCTGAGAATAATTTGACCATGGTGGGATAGAAATAGGATTGATAAATAAATGCAATAACCATATCACTATTTCAAACCTGAGCATTTCAAATTGCTGGGCAAAAATACTGTGTGAAAGTAAGACCATAAAGGCGTAAAGTTAACACTTCCTCATAGTGCTTGGATAGACACAGAAATTAAGCTTTTTATTGAGGTTTTCTCCCAGAGAAGAGAGTCTTAGTTTATGGCAATATGTATGGCAAAATAACTACCGTATTTTCCGGCGTATAACTTTCTAAACCATGCAAATTGTCTCCGAAATCGGGGGTCGTCTTATACGCCGAGTCATCTTATATGCTGGAAAATACGGTAATTTCCGGCATATAAGACGACTTTCTAACCATGCAAATTGTCTCCGAAGTCGGAGGTCGTCTTATACGGCGGGGTCGTCTTATACACCAGAAAATACGGTATGTAATAAACTAAAAAAAATCATGGGTATTCAAGTATGACCCATAAGTCAAGGTGCAATCAAAGGTCTATCAGCAGATCCCTCCCCATACATTGGACTTTTAAAAAAAAAAGAATTATTGTTTAACAATAAATCAACCAATATTTCTTCAATTCAGCCTTCTGCTGCCCACCAGCTCTATTAGATATTCCTTGTGATAATCCCTAACAGCACAACAGAGGAAGGAATGGAGATTGAATTTTGCTATCACATCAGTAAAGAGAGACAAAAATGTGACTCTGTTAATCTATATCTGAATAGACTTATTGTTCTGCTGTGATTTCTTTTTCAAGCCTACCATCTTTTTCATGAATATCTGAGGTGTGGTTTGGGTTTTAAATTCTGCATCTCTGAAATGTGTGCCTTAAATGTGACCTAACTTTTTCTTTCAAGAAAGAATGAATCCTGATTATAAATACAGATTTCTCAACGAAAATTTTACGTTGTCTGTGTTTGATTAGTTTGTCCTTTTGAAACAAAGAATCCTGTTCAGTTTATAAATACAGATTTCTCAGTGAAAAGTGTGTATTGTGTACGTGTCCTTAGTTTATCTTCTGAAACAGTTCTCAAGGATCACACATATAATGAAGTTATACTTTAATATACTTTAATAGAGAAACATAAAACAAAAATTATGGAATATAAAACAATATCCCAGTCTTAGAACAATATTACCCTTTTAAAATGAATGGGATATCAACCTTGTCACCTGCAGAAAATATATACACAGAAATTTCAAGAGACATCATTCTGGATTCAATTCCAGGTGCTGAATCTCCATTTTAGAGAAGGGATGGACAACTCTAATCCATGTCCGATTGTTATCGAGTGCAACTTCCAGATATTGAATCATCTTGGCTGGTGGCAGGAATGATTTGAACTGTGACTTCTGTATGTTGTGGTTATGTTCACACAATAGACTATGCTATGGTTTGTTTAATCATGTTTTATTAACTGACAGTTAGCTAGATTCATAAAGCACACAGCAAAGCTATAAAATCTGGCTTATAAACCGTACCGACACCACAAAACACTGGTCAATAAATGTTTCATGCACCATCCAGTTGTAGTATCCAGTGGGGTCACCCTTTCTTGATTTTTCCTGAATTGAAAGCTGCTTCACTCATTTGGAAAATGGTGTCTAACCATCCAACTACTGTCTTTCTTGAGAAAAAGGCCAAATAGATGGAAATAACATGAGGGCTGCCCAGAGATTCCTTTTAACAGCAGGATCCAACTTTCTAATTTTAATTTCTTACAGCACCCAGTGCAATTCTACATCAAGGGCACTGTGCGAAGCTAAATAGAAACAAACAATGGTATATATAATATCAGAGTCCCTGAAACAGCAGAATGAATACAGACAGTCAATACAACAGTAGATTTGGTTTTCCTTTAAATGTATCTGATGATGCTACTTGGGAGCACTTATGCAGAAGTGTGGCTCCCTCTTTAAATTCCCTGCAGGGCAATAGTAAATAAGCTAGCGTATAAATGTATTTTCACAAGGGGGTTCCCACATTGAATTAAACAATAATGAGCTTGTTTGTTTGGTTTAGTCTGGTGCATGAATAGTGGCTTAAGTGTTGCAAATGTGATATGCCAACAAGGAGACATGCATTGCCTATGGTCTCCTGGCATTTCCCTGGTTGGTTTTTGGACATTGAATTAAACAGCAATTTAAGTGCAATAAGTGCAAAAGGAAGCAAGACAAACTTGGTCAAACAAGTCATGGTTAAAACATGGCTTAGCATGATATGTACATGCAACCTGCATATAGATACAGGCTCTAATGAAATGGAACATCTTCAGATTCTTTTTTTTTTTTTGGGTAAAAGATTGTATTATTTTTTTTCTCATACATTCAGTAATAATTTTTCAATCAATGTGCTGTCTGAGTTTACATTCACTAATACATATTTAATTCCTAATCCTTTATTCTTTCCTCTAGCCATTGATAAAATAAGTTGAATAATAATCCGTTTCTTCTTTTTCTTTCAGTCTCATAGTCAGTCTGTCCATCTCGGCGCATTCTAGTATTTTTTTGATTATTTCTTCATCTGATGGTATTCCTTCATTTTTCCAGTATTGCGCAAATATAATTCTTGCTGCTGTTGTGACATGCAAAATCAAATATAAGCTTTGTTTGTTAATCTTTTCTGGCATTATACCTAACAAAAAAAGTTCAGGTTTAAAACCTACATGTTCTCCCAACATCTTTTTTTAGCCAGGTATGTATCTTTTTCCAATAACTCTTTATTTTGTCACATGTCCACCAAACATGATAATTCGTGCCTGACTTATATTTACATTTCCAACATCTGACATGTTTTTTAACATTTTTGCTAATCTTGCTGGTGGCAGGTGCCATCTATAGAACATTTTATATAAATTTTCTTTGTAGGAAGTTGACATTGTCATTTTGTAATTTCTTTCCCATAAATTTTGCCATTTTTCTAATTCTATATTATATCCAAAAATTTTTGCCCATCTTATCATTTTTTCTTTAACTTGTTCGCTTTCCATTTTCAAAGTTAATAGAAAATTATACATTTTCTTAATTAGTTTCTCATCAGAAGTTAACAATGTCTTATCAAACACAGTTTGTTTCTTGTAAAATCCATATGGTTTAACACCTTTATTTCTAGCTTGCATTTATAAATGTGCCCACCATGATAAATTGATACCCTGATTTTCCATTTCTTGTTTAGATTTTAAATTCCCTTCAGAGTTTAGAATATCTTTATATGTCCAGATTTTTTCAATGTTCACTAAATTTGGGTGTACAAATGCTTCTATTGTTGACAACCACCCTGGAATTTTCAAATATATTTTACATTTTATTTTTTTCCCATGTTGTTAATAATGCATTTCTTATATAATGATATTGAAAATATTTATGAACTTTATTTTTCCCGTACCATAAAAAAGCTTGCCACCCCAATTATAAATCATGGCTCTCCAGATATAACAGCCTTTTATTTCTAAGAGTTATCTATTCTTTTACCATGTTAATACAGATGCTTGATAATATAAATACCCACTCCGGTAGACCAAGTCCTCCATTTTCCTTGACATCTTGTAACATTTTCATCTTAATTCTAGTTTTCTTTCCTTGCCAAATAAATTTCAAAATTAGTGAATTTAAGTCTTCAAAGAATTTTTTCTCAAGTTTTATAGGTATTGTTTGAAATAAGAATAAGATTTTCAGTAGTATGTTCATTTTCACTGTAACAATTTTTCCTAGTATTGACAATTGCAAGTTTTTCCATTTTTCCAAATCCAGTTTTATTTGATTCAATAGTTTTGTGTAATTCTTTTATCATTGAACATCTTGCTGTTAAATGTATTCCCAGATATTTGACCTTTTTAACTATCTGCAATTCTGTTTTTTCCGACATTTGATTTTTATTTTTATTTTTTTTATCTGTAAGGTTTTTAACTATTACTTTAGTTTTTTCTCGGTTTATTTTCAGTCCTGCCCAGTGCTTTTTTTCTAAAAAAAAAAAAAAAAAAAAGGTGCCAGAACTCACACATGTCATACAACCTGCCTTGCCTACCCTACAAGGTTCCATCCAAAAACTCCGTTCTGGGCGTTCTATGAGAAAAAAAGCCCTGGTCCTGCCATTTCTCTGTATTGTTCTATCTTTCCCAATAGTTTAGAAATCATCTCCAAAGGTTGTTCTAAAATAAATACCAAATCATCAGCAAATGCTTGTAATATATATGTTTCACCTTTTATTTCTAGTCCTTTAATTTCTATATCTTGTCTAATATTTCTATTTAAAACTTCCAGAGTAAAAATAAATAACAATGGAGATAATGGACATCCTTACCTTGTGCCTTTTCTTATCTCAAAGTTCTCAGTGTAGTCTCCATTCACAATCACTTTCACTGTTTGTTTATTGTATATTGTTTTTATCGTGTTTGTAAAGTTCTATTCAAAGTCCATTATTTGTAATTGCTGAATCATAAATTTCCAGGAAACATTATCAAATGCCTTTTGGGCATCAGGAAATATTAGTGCCAATTGTTTCCCTGGATGTAATTCATAATATTCTAATACGTCCATTATCACTCTTAAGTTATTTTAATTTGTCTCTTTGGCAAAAAACCATTTTGGTCTGAATATATAAATTCAGTTAAGTATTTTTTCAGTCTCTCTGCCATTGTTGAAGTAAAAATTTTATAATCACATTCAATAACGATATCGGTCTATAATTTTTTATCTGTGTCAAATCTGAATCTTCTTTTGGTACTAAGGTAATATTTGCTTCTATCCATGTATTTGGGAGTTTAGCCTCCAACAAAAGTTTATTGCAAACGTCTTTTGTGGTTCACTTAGTATATCTTGTAAAGCTTTATATCAGTGGTTCTCAACCTTTTTAATGCTGCGACCCCCAATCGGTCGTAAGTCGAGGACTACTCAACCAGTCGTAAGTCGAGGACTACTCAACTGGTGCAGCACCGTTTGCAGAACTTTGCAGAACAGGACTTTTGGCGGGCTCAGCAGGGCAGAGACAGCCTGGACAATTCCTATTGGCTTTTGAAAGCCAATAGAATTAGACTCTATTCAAGAGAGTCTATTCTATTGGCTTTCAAAAGCCAATAGAATAAAAGGGAGTAGCACAGCTAAGGAAAGGGGGGGGGGAAATGGTGGACTGCGTTGTTTGGCGACCCCGTGAAATGGTCGTTCAACCCCAAATGGGATCCCGACCCACAGGTTGAGAACCACTGCTTTATATAATTCTACCAGTAGTCCATCTGGCCCCAGTGTTTTCTCATTTTTTCTTCTTCTTATGGCCCCTGTTATTTCCATCGTTGTTATTTTTTCTCTAACATAATCTTACAGGTTTCTGGAATTTTTGGAAGGTTATTTGTTTAATAGTTAATAACAAGGAATACAGTATTGAATACAGAGAAGCTATACATTACCTTTTTAAATCTCATATTGCTTTACTAGACTAATTATTAAACAAATTTATATAGCTGCCCAACTACATATAAGTGACTCAATGCTTAAAAATGGCAATAGTGTCATGGAATGAATTTATTGTGTAATGATTTTTGTATCTCTCCTACAATATTTAAAGAACAGGTAAGAAGTTACATAAATATTAGAGATACTTATAGACAAAACAGAGGTGAATAAATTCAGTATCTGGGAATTCTAGTAATTTTATTCCAATCTATGAGAATATCATATTCATAAAAAATGATACAAAATCCTCTAGTAATATGCGAGGAAGTATAACTTCAATAAATATTTCCTTGGAAATATATGCAAAATTTCTTAAGCAAGTCAATTCAGCCAATATTTTATTCAGAACATTGTACAACCTCTCACTTCCTTGGGCTAATTTAGAAGCAATTTGGTTGAATGATGATCAAATAAAGTAGAAAATAGAATAGAATCTGAGCTATTGGATATAAAAAGCACACTGTAAGACAGACAAAGAACTGGAAATATAAATACCAATTTGTCTGCACTTTCTTGAATCGAATAAGCAGCACTAGGGGGAGTTATTTACAGTACAATCGTTTTCAGAAACATTTCAAAGCCCTCAAAAGCCAACACAAAACTTAACAAGCATATCATATTAAAGACTGTCTCTTGCCCCTTCTGATAACTCAAGGTTCTTTAAGACTGAACTAAATCAAACTTCTCTAGTGAGAAGAAACATCTCCTTATTTTCAAACAACTAGCTTGCTGTGAAATTGGGATAATACCTTTGGACCTCATGCGCATGGAGTTCCACCACAGTTCCGGAGTATCCAATAGCCTCAGTATAGAGCAGACATGTCAAACACAAGGCCTGGGGGCTGGATGCAGCCCGCGAAGTGGTTTCATGTGGCCCGTGAAGCCATCTTGGAAACAGTGAGGGAACAGCCTCTGCTGCCTTGGCCCTGGCCCAGGCTGGCCGGGAGCCAATGTACAATTTTGTGGTGGCCATCTATGCTGAAACACATTCAGTCTTAGCTCCACAAGGCCATCTAGAAATAGTGAGGAACCAGCCCCTGCCATGTTGGCCCTGCCCCCTGGGTGCATGCTGGGGAGGTGTCACCCTTTGTGAGGAATGAAGAAATGGACCATGCCTTGGTGCTTGCCCCGGGCCCACCCCCTTCTGCCAGAGACCCTCAGATCTGTCCCACTCCTGCCCAGGCCCCCACAGGCACCCTTGACACGAACGATGTAGAACTGGCCATGCCTACCCAGTAGGCAACACCCACTCCATCCATGCTCACCCAGTAGGCCACACCCACCCTGGCCACACACACCCCAGACCCCCCCCCGAGGGCAACCGCAATGCTGATGCGGCCCTCAATGAAACTGAGTTTGATACCCCTGGTATAGAGATACCCTCTGTAAGGAATATAAACCCTGTCTTCACTTCAAGATCAACTTAATTTTCTCCATGCTGGTTGGGGAATTCTAGGAGTTGAAGTCTACATATGTTTAAGATGCTTAAGGTTGAGAAACATTGGTTTATACTATCCTACACTCACTGAAATCTAAACTCATACATAGCTCTAAAATCTTCATTCTTTAACACAGCTGTAGTGCATAGAAACCGAAGAACATCTTTGGATAAAATATATTTTAATACATAAAGAGAAAGAAAATAATATTTGGAATATCGAAGGATGTCCCAGTTGCAACTATGACAACCCAACTGCCTTTTCAAATAATGTAAAAATAGAATACAAAACAAGTTTTCAGAGCCTTTCACTCATTGCAAAAGAAGATTAATCTGTAAAACCTTAAAATAATGTGCATGCCTATAAATCTTGTTATTAAAGTTAGCAGAAATTTGTACTGTGGCTTCTTTATCATATACCGTATAGAGGCAATGCTTGCACCGGTCTGTATTTTAACAACATGATAATATTAATAAAAATTACAAATTTAAAATTAAGGTTCATATGCTTTTTATAGACATTTGAACTTGAGAAATGGGTATGTATGTGAAAGCAGGGCTGCTTCCCCCCCCCCCCCGCAAATGACATGGGACTTTGGCTAATCAGGACATCCCAATTAGAAGAGAGTTCATGTTTGTTTGAAAGCCTCTATGACTCTAAAACAGAGGTGGGAAATGATGGCCCTTTTATGACTTGTGGACTTCAACTCCCAGAATTCCTGAGCCAGCATGGCTGACTCAGAAAAGTCAGGGAGTTGAAGTCCACAAGTCATAACAGGGCCATCATTCCCCATTGCTGCTCTAAACTAAGGGTGGGCAACTATGACAACTTTATGACCTGTGGACTTCCACTCCCAGAATTCCAAAGACAGCATGGCTGACTCAGAAAAGTCTGGGAGTTGAAGTCCACAGATCATAAAGCTACCATAGTCACCCAGCCCTGCTCTAGCATAATGTCTCATTTCCCAATGTTCTGATTGCTATGGTAAGTTTTCCTGAAACAAAAACTAGATGTATGACATCCTTGAACCTAAAAATATTCATTGCTGAAAATGTGCCCAAAATCTATGATCCTGGAACTGCTGTATTTGGAACAACTGGTGTCATAACCAGCATGTGTCCCAAAATGTGCAATAATTCAGGAATGGGGAACTTATTGTCCTCCAGCTACCAAACAACTCCTACGATCTCAAACTATTCGCCATACTGTTTGAGGCTGGATTCCAACAACTGAATACAGCAATAAGTTTCCTATGTCTACATAGATAGCAGGGCCTTGGGAGATTTGGGCTGTTTACGTTTAGGATTGTGCCTTTTCTGATCAGGTTGCTTTAGTTGTATGAAATCTTTTTCCAGAATGATGTGTAGAGCTGCTTATGGAACGACAGATTAGAAAACAGGTTGAGAAAAAAGGAAGCTTATAAATGGATCAAAATCAAAGGGTGCCTCTCAGGCTTGAGGTCTCTAGTGCTGCAGAAAGATGTCCCAGTCAACTGCAGTGTGCATCATCCTGCAAGGAAAATCAAAAGTTAAGGACTGTTATGTACATTATCCATCCCAACACTGCTGATGGAATTTAAAGGAGGTAAATTTAATAAACTCATGAAATATAAACATATGCTTACCCACCTTTTTGCCTAAAATGTCTCCCAGTGCTATTTGTATCAAATTGATTTAAAAAGAAGTGTTTGCATTGCATTTTTTCAGTACTAAATTAAATGATTAATACACACACACATACATCATAAGATTCTATTTTAGAACTGGAAACTTTATCCAAGATTCTCCTGGAGAAAATCTATCTACATCGGGGGGGGGGGCAACTTATAGCAACTTTATAGCCTATGGATTTCAACTCCCAGAATTTCTGAGCCAACATGGGATTCTGAGAGTTGAAGTTCACAGGTTGTAAAGTTGCCATAGTTGCTCACCCTTGAGTTATATAGTCCTTGAGAATTGAGACTGACTTGCTAGCATGTAATCAATCAATGAAAATCATGCAAAGCAGAGCAAAGTATTAGAAATTAGATATGAGGTAAGAAAAAAGAAAAAAAAACATGGCTAAATCTATTTTACACCACCATTTTTCACTGTATCTTTATAAAATGCCCTTGCTTCAATTACATCAATATTCTGATTCATACATCTTTTTTGATGTTTCAACTCTTAACTTCTCTTATCTGTGGATTTCATTAGCTCCCTCCAGCCACAATTTTCTCTATCTTTTTCCTCCTGTCATTTCATTCACTCTTCCTTTAAGCATTTTTTTCAAGTCAGTCATATTCTTTCTCTCTATATGGCCAAACTATCTTAATGTGCTTCGTTGGGATGCTTTTATATTCTGTCTCGATTCATTCAGTCCTCATTTATTTTTGAGCCCTTATGTTCTTTTAGCGTACACACTGCTTTTATGTAACCCCCGGATCTCAAATACACAACCCTTTTCACTTCTTTTGGCATCCTTTCCCCTCAGAAGACTACATATTACCTTCTACTTTTCTATCCATTTTAAAAATTTCTCCATCCATTCTCCCAATGGATATTGATAATACTCAACCACGTTAATTTTTCTCAACTAGCTAACCAGACAGCTGAAAGCTGCAAGAAGGGGGGGGGGAGAGAAACAGGCCATCAAGAAATATCAACTTATTCAAATGAAGAGTTAGATAGGATTCCATCCCTTTCTTACCCTTTCAAGAGTCAGTAGAATCTTCGTCCATAAAAGTTTGGATACAGCCCTGTCTTCTGCACCCCAAAGGCTGTAATGAAGATGTTGATAATGACTGTGATGAAAACTAGGACTGTGGTAATATTGTTGAGCAAGTCCAAGCGCTCCTGTTTTGCCACATCATTCAGATTCAGTCGAGCTATAAGCATTAAATCCAATCTGGTCAAAATTTTAAACAGAGGTACTCTGTTTTCGTGACTCCTCCCTCCCTTCAATTACAGTATCCTTTTACCAAGACTCAAAAAACACTAAAAAACAATCACAAAAATGCATTGGATTATTTTATGATTTCTTGAGTATTAAGAAGATCTTATTTTATTTTTCTCCAGAAAGGTCAGGGCAATAAAGCATGTTGTCAATTCCCAATCCTATATGTGATTTTCCCCCCCCTCTACAAAACAGTGATATGTAAAAGCTGAGAAATGGGGTTTTGATCAGGTACGGTTGCTTGTCTTTACTGGTATATTTATAGCTGAATCAAATATTTCAGAAGCAAATTACATCTCCAGTTATCTCTCCTCCTTGAATGTCTCACTGCTTAGCAAAGAGGAGAACGCAAAACAATACATTTCCTTGATGTAATATAAGTTTACACTACTCTTAAAATAAAACGTGCATATGGGGAACAGGTCACAGGAAACATGTGGCCCTTCCTGATTACTTCCCCCCCCCCCGAAGAGCAGGATTTGCTGTCATGCAAATGACATGTGGAACTAATAGCAAAAGTGTCTTGGTGCTTGGTGATCTAGCTAGCCTAACTGCAATTTTCCACAAAGTTTGTTTAATTGAAAACCAAATGCAACTCTCCATCCAAAAGGGCCTGATTGCTTTTTAAGAACGGATTAGATGACAGGGAATCATTGAAAAAAAAAAATGAGTCACTTTTTGGACCCCGGGTGGCCAGAGATTTTAAGAAGCTGAAAGCCAAGGGGAGCAGGATCCATGCATGTTGGGAATGCTAACAATCAGCCTCTATATATAGAAGAGAGTTTCTATTGATACAGCAGGACTGCAGCTGTATGGAGCTCAAGTTCGTGACCCTGTCATGCCTTTCAATGCCAACTACATAAGGAGAGAAAGACAGGCTGCTTTTATCATGCAAGGGCATGAGGGGGGGGGGGAAGCAAGGGGAGGGAGCATGGAGGACCAACCCAGACAGTTGCGGACACTGCACCCTCTATATATAACCCCAGAGATACAGAGAAATATACTAGGGCAATTACAAAGGGAAAGAAAGAACCACCAGGGTGGTATATTTATTTAAGAAATGGGGTCAATGCAGGATGGTGTGTAGGCAGTTTTGGTTGCAACATGCAACAAACACATCTGTAATTTCATTGCTGCTGACAGCAAGTATCAAAGTCTTCCCAACAAGAGCACTGTGGTGAAAATTTGATTGCTCACAGTGACCTGGTTAATTGTAGGCTTCCAAGCTATCTGCTTCAATGGAAAAGCTTAGCATTGTTTAAGGCTTCACTTCTCATCAACTCCAGCTAGTATAGACAAGGACTGATAGAAACTATAGCTCAACAGTCCTGGGGAGGCAGCAAGCTCATTATTGACAAATCTGTTGGATCTTAAATTGTGCAAATTTTAAAAATGGAATAGAACAAGAAATTGGAGATCCCCATTTTGTTTAAACAGGAGGAAACTATCTTAATATCTGTGTCAAAAATTTCAGTAGTTCTTAGATTACAGTTTATTTAGCTAACTACTATTCGTACTAATATACCAATACTAGAATAAGTTTCATTAAAACATATTTTCAATGCCCTAAAATTATTATATTCTAGGAAATATATATATATATATATATGTTTTCTGAGGTTTTCGTGGGTGTTTGTATGTAGGTCTTTGGTTGTTCGGGTTTTCTCCCGTGTAAAATTGGAAGTGTCTGAAGATGACGAATGGGACTTCGTCAAAACGTCGCCAAGACACTTCCAATTTTACGTGGGAGAAAACCCGAACAACCAAAGACGCGGGAGAAAACCCGAACAACCAAAGACCTATATACAAATACCCGCGAAAACCTCAGAAAACATATATATATATATATATATATATATATATATATATATATATATTTTCTTTATATTATATTTGGACTTTTATATTCTTTTAAATAATCTCTCCCATTATACAAAACTGATGACTGGACAACAAAAATAATTCCTCATGGCCTGCCTTATTGCTATATTTTTCAACAGTAGGATGATATCACTCAGTGAACTGAAGAGTTGAAGTTACTTGCAGTTTATCAACACATTACTTATAGATGTAGATTACATATGAATAGTTACAATGAAATAGAATGTCTTTTATTGAAACTGATATTAAAATGTTCTTATACACATATAAGAGAATCCCTTACAGATATAATTTTGGCTGTTATAGTTTTGCTCCTTTCTCCCATCTTTCTTTCTTTCTTTCTTTCTTTCTTTCTTTCTTTCTTTCTTTCTTTCTTTCTTTCTTTCTTTCTTTCTTTCTTTCTTTCTTTCCTATGGTTTGTCTTACTAGTTAAATAAAGGCTAATACATAAATAAAACAAATGTTTGGAAGATGACAAAGTGAGCTGTAGGTAAGAGAAATCATTTGCCAACCAGTTTTCTCAACCATTAGTTTTTTCCACAATCTGTATGCACCAAAGAAGTTGGAAGTGAACTTGCAGCAGTCTGGCTGTTGACCATGTGGAAACTGCAGTCACAAATCCCTAGGCCAGGGGTGTCAAACCCAATTGCACTGTAGGCCTTATCATGATGTATCATAAGGTGACCAACTTTTTTACAATGAAAAGGAGGACACAAATAAATTGAAGAAAAAAATATCGTAAAAACTGGCTCGGCCCATGGAAGGTCAACCGCCTGCTGCACCCCTGCCCACAGCTGCCCCACCAGCACTGCTGCCTTGCCATGTAGAGCGGGCCCCATGGCTCCCAAAGCACCAGCTGTGCCAGCTCCGGCCCTGGGAGGCAGCCTGCCATCGACACACCCTGCCTGCAGCCGCCTCGCCAGCACCACCGCCCACCCTGCACTGCCCCATGTAGAGAGGGCCCCGTGGTTCCCACAGCATGGTATCTTCGGAACTAACTAGGAGATGGTGTAGTTGGGTAGCAGGCAGGGGTGCTAAGTTCCTGCCAATTCGCCTTCGCTGCAGACAACTTGCATGTGCAAAGTTTGTCGGTTGGGTTTTTGGCATTCTCAGCAGCAATTCCTATTGGCTTTTGAAAGCCAATAGGGGGAGTAGCACAGCTCATGCAAAAGTTGAAAAAAAAACCATTAAAAAAGGTGCCGGAACACTGTTCTGAGCGTTCTATGAGAAAAAAAAAGCCCTGCAGATTAGTCTTCAAATATTAAAAAGGAGAACATGTAGGAGGACACTTTTCGAGGGAGGATAGAACTTACAAAAGGAGGACTGTCCTCCCTAAAGGAGGACGTTTGGTCACCTTATGTATCAGGACTTCTTTTGCCTTTACAGGGCCACGATGGGCGTGGCCTGTGCAGGCCACATCTGGCCCACAGGCCGCGTGTTTGACATGCTTGCCCTAGCCAGTAAGCAACACTAGCATTTCTCAAGGCCACCACATTGGAAAAGGCTGGTCTTGAGTAATTCTGGCAGCTAGTTTTGGTGTTTGCATTTTGGGACTGTTCACATGCAGTAGCTACTCTTGTAAATGATATAAATGACTCAAACAATTCAACCACAGTTTGAAACAAAGAACAGGAAAGCTGTCCTCATCTCTGCCCGTGAAACTGAATGCCTGCAAAAAAATAACCTTACCCATCACAATAAGGAGAATCCCAATGGTCATCTGGAAGAAGAGGGACACACTGATGAGAACTATCAGAGCCACATAATAGTGGAATGAAGGTCCCTGTTCCACGATTGCCTTCAGCTGTGCAGCATTAGCCATAAAGAGGGCCACGTCCAGCATGCTCTCTGCCACACTTTTCTTGGTAGCATAATGGTTTATGTTGATTACACCTTCCCTGCTAAAGCCAGGGTTAGAGGCCTAGAAGAGAAGAAAAGCCATTAAGAATCAGGAAGGGAAATGACCTTGCCCTTCTGCTATAGGTAGATGCACAAAATGTTCTTTAGATGATAGGCAATACCACCAAAAGGGCAAAGGAGTTCTCCTGAATTCTTTGCTGGACTCTATTAGCCAAAACAAAACTAGATCGTGGTCAATAACCAGAATTCCTGAAACAGATAACACTGCATATATTAAAATCAGGCTCTATTATCTTTTTGCAGCCTGACACCCTCTAAATATATTGGATTAAAAATACAAAATGCCTTTACATATATACAAAATGCATTTGCAAATTAAAAATACAAAATACATCCATTCTTTTTTTTTCCTTGTTATTTGTTTGCACCTGAACCTATTTATCCCGATAAATGAGAGTGAAAGATTCTAGTAACTGTTGGATGTAATGTTGTTTATAGCAGCCCATAGTCTTTGTCACAGTATGCCTCAGTTCATTGTATAATCTTTGCTGCAGGTGCTATCTGGTGGATTTTTGAGAGATCTGGATGGAGAACAGCAATAGCACCTAGATTTATATACAGCTTCATAATGCTTTACAGCCCTCTCTAAGCAGTTTACAGAGTCAGCATATTGCCTTCAACAATCTGGGTCCTCCTTTTATCAACCTTGGAAAGATGGAAGGCTGAGTCAACCTTGAGCCAATCAGGATCAAACTCCTGGCAGGAGCAGAGTTTGCCTGCAATATTGCATTCTAGCTACTGCACCACCAAGGCTCTTGTGGTGTCTCTTGTGTCTTTATTTGACACACCTATCTTCTCTTGGTATGCCATATATTTTTCCCCATGGTTTTTTTCTCCACTGAAATCAATGAACCAATAAAAAAGGGCATGTATAGAAACCCAACAAGTTGAAATAACTCATGACGTCATTTTTAATGTCTTTGTTTTACTGCCTCAAGAAATAACATTCATGTATTAGTAATGGTCAAATCTCCTTGGGACTTATTTTTTGCTTGTCACAGATATGCCACTGTCACCTTCTAGGATGACATTTTGGGCCTCCCAATCTATCCTAAGCATACCAAAATATCTGATTATTCTACTGAGGAAGATTTCATAATGAAACAGAAGCTACCGTAAGAATGAAGTTTGGAGGAACAGAACCATTCAGAATAAGAAAGGTCAAAAATGCACATTGACCTTATATCTGTTCATGCACAGGAGATACAGTACAAGTTGCACTATCAGAAGAAATAGCTGAGAAAATCAAAACTGGAGGCTAAACGTTACAAATCTCAGATATGGAAAAGACAATACTTTGACAGATGAAAATATATCAGGCTCAAAAGAGCTCATTAGAAAAGTAAAAATGGAAAATGAAAAGAGTTAAATATTTTAAAAAGACAAAGGTAATGCCAATCTGTGCACATTTGATGAATTTATTGTGCTCAAGAATAGATTAAAAATAGACCGTATGCTAGATACATCAAAAGATTAATCCTGAGGAGGTAGGATATGATAAACTTAGATAAGAGTCTAAACCTTAGAGCCTCTTTGTGAGTGAGATAGACATTTTATATATAAAGTAAATAAATAAATAAGATCATCAAGGATCAGACTACCAACAAAGATAGGAATAGTTAAAGAAAGACTTTCTTAGTGGAAATTTATGGCTGTGAAAGCAAGACACTGAGAAAGAACAAAAAAATGAAAATAAATAGTTGTGAATCATGTATTTGGAAATGGTTTCTAAGAATATCATGAACGGCTGGTCAGTCCTTGAATAAATAAAGACTGACTACTCTTGAGGCAGTCATCAGTAAACTTACACACATTTGGGCATGTGATGCAAACAGGTGATGAACTAAAAAAAATGACTCTGCTTGTAACACTGTGGGAAATACAATAAGGTGAAGATAACAGATAAGGGGGATGAATGAGACCAAGAATATCACTAGAACATTCCTGGAAAAACTGTAGAACAGTGTTTCCCAAACTTGACAATTTTAAGGCATGAGGACTTCAACTCCCAGAATTCCACAGCCAGCAACGCTGGCTGTGGAATTCTGGGAGTTGAAGTCCACATGCCTTAAAATTGTCAAGTTTGGGAAACATTGCTGTAGAACATAAGTAGAGATTGTTGAAGTGGAAAGCATTTGTCCATACAGGATAGCCACGCAATCAGAGTCACCTAAGATCTCTCTGTGACCTGCCACCAATTGGAGGCAACCAAGGTACCATGGGCTTGCTTCGCTAGAGGTCCATCATGTTAGTTTATGAGAGCAAACATCAGAAGAAATCTAGTGACATCTTTCATGAGCTACAGTCCATTTCAACAGATACATATAGGTAGACCTTGACATGTGACCATAATGGACCCTGTCATAGGTTGTGAGAATCGTAAAACAGAAAAACTGGACAGTGAAACAGGCAGTATATATATTAAATAAATAAATAAACCAAATGGGTTGGTCACATGACCAATCTGATTTTACAATCCTTTTTGTGATGCTTATTAAGTAAATCATCACATCAAACAAAGCAATGGTTCATTATGGGTGCAGTTTTGCCAAAAGATAGAAATGCTATCATGTGACTGCGGGATGCTGTAAACAGTTAACAAATGCAGCCAAAATTCAGTCATAGGACAATGAGAGGGTGGAACTTTAATCCAGGTTGTAAGTAGCCCCAGGAAAAGTCTGTCATAACTTTGAATTTTTGCTAAGAGACTGGTCATAAGGTGAGGACTACCTGTAGTGTGGTTAAACTGAGGTGGGATTTAAATTGGGATGAGGCGGGGGGGAAAGACTGATTATGCAGATACAGGTAAGACAGATTATGAATGCCTTACTATTAATGTATTAAAAATCCATTGTGTTTGTTACGATCATCTGAATTTGTCTGAAACCTGCTACTGAAGTTGTCCAGCAATTTCTCACTTAATAGTCCTGCTTTTCTAAAACACTCACTTTCAGGTCTGCAGCAGAATATTGTAGCAGATTGTTGTTGTTGTTAATTGCGAAGTCGTGTCCGACCCATCGCGACTCCATGGACAATGTTCCTCCAGGTCTTCCTGTCCTCTACCATTTTCTGGAGTCCATTTAAGTTCACACCTACTGCTTCAGTGACTCCATCCAGCCATCTCATTCTCTGTCGTCCCCTTCTTCTATTGCCTTCAATCTTTCCCAGCATTAGGCCTTCTCCAGTGAGTCCTTCCTTCTCATTAGGTGGCCAAAGTATTTGAGTTTCAACTTCAGGATCTGGCCTTCTAAAGAGCAGTCGGGGTTGATCTCTTCTAGGATTGACCGGTTTGAACCCTTGCAGTCCAAGGGACTCGCAGGACTCTTCTCCAGCACCATAGTTCAAAGGCCTCAATTCTTTGGTGCTCAGCCTTTCTTATGGTCCAACTTTCACAGCCATACATTGCAACTGGGAAAACCATGGCCTGGACTATACGCACTTTTGTTGGCAGGGTGATGTCTCTGCTTTTTAGTATGCTGTCTAGATTTGCCATAGCTTTCCTCCCCAGGAGCAAGCGTCTTTTAATTTCTTGGCTGCAGTCCCCATCTGAGGTGATCTTGGAGCCCAGAAAAATAAAATCTGTCACTACCTCCATTTCTTCCCCATCTATTTGCCAGGAATTGAGAGGGCCGGATGCCATGATTTTGGTTTTCTTAATGTTGAGTTTCAAGCCAACTTTTGCACTCTCCTTCTTCACCCGCATCAAGAGGCTCTTTAGTTCCTCTTCACTTTCTGCCATTAGAGTGGTATCATCTGCATATCTTAGGTTGTTGATATTTCTCCCGGCAATCTTAATTCCAACTTTTGTTTCATCTAGCCCTGCCTTTCTCATGATGTGCTCTGCATATAAGTTAAATAGGCAGGGCGACAGTATACAGCCTTGCCGGACTCCTTTTCCAATTTTGAACCAATCAGTGGTTCCGTGTCCAGTTCTCACTGTTGCTTCTTGACCCGCATATAGTTTCTCAAGAGACAAATGAGATGGTCTGGTACTCCCATCTCTTTAAGAACTTGCCACAATTTGTTGTGATCCACACAATCAAAGGCTTTTGCATAGTCAATGAAGCAGAAGTAGATGTTTTTCTGGAACTCCCTAGCTTTCTCCATGATCCAGCGTATGTTGGCAATTTGATCTCTAGTTCCTCTGCCTCTTCGAAATCCTGCCTGTACTTCTGGTAGTTCTCGATCCACATACTGCTGGAGTCTAGCTTGTAGGATTTTAAGCATAACTTTACTAGCATGTGAAATGAGTGCAATGGTGCGATAGTTTGAACATTCTTTGGCATTGCCTTTCTTTGGAATTGGAATGTAAACTGACCTTTTCCAATCCTGTGGCCACTGTTGAGTTTTCCAAATTTGCTGGCAAATTGAGTGTAGCACTTTTACTGCATCGTCTTTTAAGATTTTGAATAGCTCAGCTGGAATACTGTCACCTCCACTAGCTTTGTTGTTGCTCAGATTTTCTAAGGCCCATTTCACTTCACATTCTAGGATGTCTGGTTCGAGGTCAGTGACCATCTCATTGTGGTTATCTGGGATGTTAAGCTCATTCTTGTATAGTTCTTCTGTGTAGTTTTGCCATCTCTTCTTAATCTCTTCTGCCTCTGTTAGGTCCTGCCATTTTGGTCCTTTATCATGCCCATCTTTGCATGAAACGTTCCCTTCATATCTCCAATTTTCTTGAAGAGATCTCTGGTCCTCCCTATTCTGTTGTTTTCTTCTATTTCTTTGCACTGTTCATTTAAGAAGGCATTCTTATCTCTTCTAGCTACTCTCTGGAATTCTGCATTCAATTGGGTGTATCTTTCTCTTTCTCCTTTGCCTTTCGCTTCCCTTCTTTCCTCAGCTATTTGCAAAGCTTCCTCAGACAGCCATTTTGCTTTCTTGCATTTCTTTTTCTTTGGGATGGTTTTAGTTGCTACCTCTTGTACAATGTTGCGAACTTCCATCCATAGTTCTTCAGGCACTCTGTCTATCAGATCTAATTCCTTAAATCTATTT